AAACTTTCGCAAATTTCGTTTTTCAGGACGTTTGGCGGATCAAATTTTCAGGATTGCAAGTCAAAAACGCAAAAAACGCGAAAATTTCTTCCTTTGAAGTAGCAACTGAGGTATAAGGAAAGCAGTCGGTCTATTTCATACCATCGTCTTGTCACGGAGGTGGGTTTCTGTTGCGGTGAAAGACCAGGATGTCATGATTTTACCTTACCCTGTAGAATTGAGACAGAGAAACTTCAACCAAGTCACATTTCTCTAACCAAATTATATCTATCCTACATTCTGTCCATTGAACTTCTCATAAGGGATTGACTTTACTAGCCAGCATCTTGTCAACAAATTGAATGTAACATTGGTATTTCTTGGTATATTAATAAAATTAATGTCTGGTTAAATCCTTTCAGTCATTCTGGCAAACGGAATAATATGTCGGCTCATACACGTTGGCAGTCTGCAATGGCAATATCGCGATGGCAAACTGCAAACACTACCCCAACCTGCACCTGTCCATTCACGATTACTAACTGCTTACTTATTTATTTCCTACTTATTAATTTGTTCTGGACCTTTTATATAAACTATCATAGGCAAGCAAGAAATTTATTTGAAGCAAAAAGCATCATAACTAGTCGTTGTTACCCCGATCCTCCTCCCCTGTGGAACTGACTGTGGTTAAAGTGAGGAAATTGTAATAAATTAGACGGAATGCTTCGGATGTTGAATATGACCCAACGTGAGGATAGGGGATACAGTTTTAATTCAAAAGAAACAAATACTTGATAAACTACAACAACTCATCATCTGTAGAGCTAACAGACATCTGTCTAACATCAGATTGTTATTTTGGGTGCAGAATGATGTTAAATGTCCCAAAAATCACTGTTACAAAGCTTCTTTGCCCTGAGGGAAGTTGTTTTGACAAATCCTAATGATGGAATCGTAATCAACCCTGCTGTCCTAATCAGCTGTTGACATGTCTTTTCAGCTAAAGAAACTGTTCTGCGTGTCGTAATCAATAACACAGCTATAATGCTTTATCTGTTTAGTAAGCAAGAAAAGTTTTAACGATCACTCAACTGATCCCATGACATATGTCAAAATGTCAAGTTACGTAGTAGCTCAGTGATAGCAGAATGCACAAGAAGGAAATAAGGCTGATTGTTGAAAAAGTGTATAAGGAAATGCTGGACCTTCATCTTTAGACTCTGTTATATTAAACAAAATTCATTACCATTCACTGAATCTCTTTCTAGAATTTTATCAAGACGATTGAAGAACATTGATATAATATATCCAGCCATGGAAGTCGTCTAGCAAAAAAACGAATCACCAAAGATGGTTATATCTACAACAGCCAACCTAGGAACTCATGCTTACGTCACTAACCCCATATTGAGAGAAAAGTGTTTGCAAATCGAGCACTACTTGGAAAGACGAGTTGGCATGCAAAATAAGGTTAATTCGGTAACAAACAGAACGGGAAACTTAACGGGGCAAAATAGTGAATATTCACTCCATCGTTAGATTCCAATGACAATAACGGAAATTGCTGTAATCCCCCGGAGAAAGTCGAGTGTGGTGTTCCTTAGACCAGCAAGAAACCCTCGTTAGCACACGATACGTCTCCCTGCAGGTGTATAATTGTCGAGACCGTTTGACAGGAAACTTTGAATTGTATTGATTTTGTATTGCACCTTTAAGTTTCCCAAAAATAGACAAAAGACAAATCGGGTACCATGCTATCAAAATCAGGACATTTCCAGGGCAAGCGGCGAGAAACGTAGATCCTAGGTCATCTTCAGGCATTATCAATGATATGCCAAAAGTTCTACGTTCTATTTGTGTATTCTAGGATACTTTAAACATTTGTTATCATCTTGTAATACAAAAAAGATATTACTTCTGTTTTAAGATGAAAAAGGTTTCAAGAACCTGAGGAATTTTAGGCCGAATTTTAGTAGCAGAAATCCAGTAACGATTGAAGATGAATTAAGATGCTAAATTGCAGAAAAATTGAGAAATTCAGATAAGTCAAGGATGCGAGTCTATAATTTAAAAACAGACAATCTTTTACTTAATAGCTTCTTATTTGCAAAAACTTGGGTCTATTATATTTAATGTCTAGGACTTGCAAAAGGTTCTGTTCGATATTTATCAGACAATTCAATAAAACATTCCTCTATCTCATTTGGTTTTCAATAATATTTTTTCATTTTTATCGCAATCATCATTTCGTAGTAGATTGTGTAGTCTATTTATGTGAAGAAGAATCTTGTCAATCTACGATCAGTTAGTTAACCATCTAGACTGGTATCTTCTAAACACCGAGACAAAAACGTTCTACCACAACAAACGACTCGATTCTAAAAATAAAGGAATATACCTTTTTTAGAAACTAAACGGAGCGTATTTTTAGACTTGAATGGGTTCTCATTCATTCTATCCTTCATTCGTCTTAAGAAGAATTGTGCAAATCTTTTCCTGAGATAATTCAAATATCCAAACACGGCCTTGATACAGTTAAGGCTTAGAGGCATTAAGAAAAGGCGTTCTCATAACGAACCATTCCGGCTGATCGCTTTAGCCATACCGGTACCATTTTGGGCTTAGATATCAAGCACAGAACGATATGTCGAATCTGCCATTCCGGTTGTTTGACAGTTCCTTTTATAATCATTTGCTGAAATGATTGTCTATTAGAATTTTTGGGTATCAAAAATCGGAATATAATTCTTTAATACAAGCAGATTTCGGAAGAATTTTATAATATATTCGATAAGAAAGATTAAACCATTCAACAGTTTATTCGTAACAGCAATCGAATACATCCTTCGCCGCCCCAACGAGGCGCGGCCATTGAATTACAAAAGGCATAAATCCTAAATGCCTAACAATTTTTTTAATTACCGCCTTTAATGCGCAACTGTTGCTTTAAACAATATCGGTTTCAAATGCGGTTTTCGTTTTTCTTCTATGTTTTGTAGTACTTACAGTTATCAATTTGAAGAAATTTGAAGTTCCTGGGAATTAAAGCCTTTTAAATGCGTGTGGTCTTATTCGGGAGATCCAGAAAATTTTTATCAAATTAGATCTGCTTTTAGGGATTAGAGAGGCCTAAACAAAATTCTATTTTTGGCTAACGACGGTACAGGGTAATTCGGCCTCGTGACGTAACCACAAGAAGTGGTGCGGATGCGTGACCCTGTAAAACAACATAGACATTCCGCAGGGAACTTCGATCTAACTACAGCGCGGTAGAATGCCTAAACACTTGACGCCATAATGAGCGTCCGTCCCTCATTGTTTTCTGTGAACATGTCCAGAAGGAATGTAAGGTGCTTTAGAATACGAATATCGCACACAGAGTGGTTTTCATTCCTTTCATTTTATCACGCGATACATCAAAGAAGAAAGGTCGAACAAAAAAAACTTGCAATCGCGTATTTTTCTTACTAAAAGCCCCCTGGTGGCAAAGCTAAAAAACGGGTCTTTGGCAGGAGGCCGACAGTTATGAGGTACTACTCAAAATATTCCCGCAAATTTAACTCGAGATGCCGTTGTTTTCTTCACTTCATTTCAAACCATCCCTTCTTAGCTGTTATTGAAATTTAATAGCTCCTTTAAATGTTAACTTGGTCATTATAAAGGGGTGAGAAAACCCAGTTCGTTTTTTCTATCGTTAAACCCAAAACGAGGCTTTTTGAATGGCCAAGAGGCATGGATGATGTTATTGTCAGTCCTCAAACGACTATTCGCGTTACGTTGTTTATCATAGAGGAATGCTTAGCTACGCCTATTCAGAGCTTTTCCACAGTCCACACCTAGACGTAAAATTGTTTTTTAGATGAAAACATAGAGCTTGGAAAATTTACAGGCTAAACGGCACATATTCAATTTTATTGTGCCAAAATCAGCATCAAACTGCGATTTGGCAGAGCAATTCTAAAAAATGGAATTTTATTTTTAAGCATTTGGCTTGCGTGGAAAGCAAAACATGATGTTGTTTTCAACATGTCATAGACCTGATGTGAAATCCCACGAAGAGTTGAATAACGAATAATGCCACGAAGAGCTACCGTTCTTCGTAAAAGAATGTGCTAGTTCTCTAATGTGCAAGACTCTCCTCCCTGCTAAACATATCCAATACTCTAATATTTTAGCGTGCATTGTTTAATTTTTGTATATTCGAGAATAATTGCCTGGTTCAAATTTTATCGACAGCTTGACTTTAATGTTCATCTGCGTATTTTGAGCAAAGAAGCGCGACTTTCACGCAAAATGATTGGGATGCATCAACAAACTTGTATTGTGCTTCACCATAACGAAAAAAAGTGAATGTTTGTGTTGCTTTCTTATTTCTTACCAAATTAGGCTCAGTATCACAAATTTTTAAAAATATTGAGGCTCAGCGAAAATCACGGTAGTCTCATATGAGGAAAGTTGGTATGATGATAGCATCAAAATAACTTGTGCAATACATTACAACGACATTTGGGACAGCTGGTCCCTTCCATTACAACAATAGTTGGGCAATGCCTTTATGCATGAGATATGCATGAGGAGACTGAGCAAGAAGACAAGTTTACAATGCTGTCTAGGAGCATACCTGAAAGTTGGGGGGTAGGGGGTCAAGCTGTCCCAGCTTATTCCCTTTGTGCCAAAGCGCGTGCTTACACGAGAGGCTATAAAATACTAGCAAAGTCTTTGGTCCAAAAAGACTCAATAATTCAAACCTCCTTTCGATTCTGAAAGGCAAATGTGCCAAATTAAATTGGATTAGTTGCATTGAATCGAAAGAAGTAGCAATTCGGCATTGGCTCCTGCAATTTTTTTTTGCAGTAATAAACGACCACTTACAAGGACACGTGACAAATGCCTATAAATTTTCAGCAGCTTCGTACATATATCATTCAGCTGAATGTGATTTTAAATGCTGGCCTAGAGAAAAACAACTACGTCGGGAACAGGATCAATATGAAATAATTCTGGCTTGCAACAGGAAATTCCTTCCACTAGATAATTCATTGACGCATTCGAAAACTAAGTAATTAATCAATGTTTTGAAATACCACAGAACTTACTAAGAGTTTTATTTCAAATGGACAAATCCAGCTTCCTTTTAAGCTTTAAGAACTCGCCGAGTGTTTTCGTTTCCATTGCGGCTTGAAAACCTTTGTAGTCCTGCGAAGGAGCATTGAAACATCAAATGACATTGGGAACATAAAATAGGGAAAAGCTAAACATGAATTCTTGAACACGAAGCTGTGGCCAATTGTTAGACCAAACCCTCTTTACTGGATAAAACGCCCTTTTATCAATAGGTGACGCCTAACCTACCAAGAAGGAATGTCCATGACTAATTCTTTCTTCCTCGATGGCAGCTTGAAAGTCATAGAATCACGTAACAAGTACTTCGCCAAAATATCACCCCTTTCCATACATTTTCCTATCAGATTTATATGAATTCCAAAATCATTTGGGCTAAGAACAGTCCTTCATGTCTAGCGGGGCCACGAGGGGAAACATTTTTCTTATAAGTGTGGCATAGATTGGGGTGGGAAATTTTATTTTGTGCTGGGAAGATGTCATAAAAGGTATAGGAGGGGCGACCTTCTTAATACCAACGAGGGACAATAAAAACTCAATAAAATATTTTGAAAATTCAGATCACATTAGTTTTTCTTTTTCGAGTGCTCTACAATAAATCTAGCACTAAATTTGCAATCTCAATCAAGACTGGCTTCCTTTGAGGAAAACATCCATGCATATTGAAAAATGACACTGGATGTAATTAAGAGAGTTTACAGGGGAAAGTCACCCTGCTAAGTCAAGTGGCCCCTTCTCAATATCACGACCTAGTAAGGATCGGGGAGGCCAGGCTTGAGAGATAAAAGCATGCTTTTCGTTAGTAAAATGATAATTTCAAATAAGGGGTGAACATTTTAGATAACATATTGTCTCTCTCTTATTCACTACCGCTAATCTTTGTGTAGCACACATTTGTACTCTGCCCTCTGTAGGCAAAAGCAAGGATGACAGGCCCCACTGCCCATGATGTGAAGGTGTCCCTAGCTGTGTATGGTCGAAATAAGCCAAGGTCTTTGCTCTTTTCATTTAATGATAGCAAAACGCTTAGGCGAAGGTTTGTCTTTGTAAGGACTTGCAGAGGGGGTTTACTCTTGCTACATGTTAGTATAACTGCCAACACAGGGATAAAAGGGAAAACCACTTCAACCTGTCTCGAATTTTCACAAGATATAGTAAAAGTATCTTAATATAAGAATATGCAAAAAAGCTACTGCTTTGTTTGACAACTAATTTAATATTATGTAAGCTGGTTATTTCATATAGCAATAAACAGGATCTCTAAAGATTCCTCAGTGTAGAAATGAATATTTTCAAAGCGGGCCTAGATGCATATAGGTCTTACTATGAATTTATCCCCGTTTAATCAAACAATTTGAAGCAATAACAGCCAACACCAACAAATGGGCAAGAAAAACAACTGAATGGACGCCGAGGGATGGAAAAAGAACCAGAGCAAGGCCAAAACGCAGATGGAGGGACGACATCAACGAGAGAGAAGGAAAGAGGCGGATGGCCAAGAAGTGGAGTCATTTGTGGAGGCCACCTGCAAGCAGTGGCATGGCGGGCTGAAATGATGATGATGATGATGATGATGATGATGCTCATAGTTATGTAACAACATACATAGAGAAGGCTAGGATATTGTAATATCACATACCCCACAATAGTAATGCTTGTTTACAATCTGCGGGGGAAGCGCCTTCTCGTCCTCAGCGTACGACCTCATTCTGATCTTGTCTCTCCCTGAAGCAGCGACGTCTTTTATTTCGTAATCGATTTTATATGATTGCATAGCTGCCTCGATTTCCTGTTGAGCCTTCCTCATCTAACAGTAATTAAAAGAAATATTCAAAATATCTCGTCTTTAATATGCAAAAATAAATCTTGGCTATTTCGATGCGTTGCTAAAGAAACACGCCATCAGTAATAGGGGCGTTTAAATATAGAGTAAATTAGGCTACTAAACGTAAATAGTAAATTGGGAGCATTTACGGCAAAATTTGCCACCAACGATGTTTATAATTTCCTTTTCCAAAACTGCTGAAGCTAGACCGCCAATGTGGCTTACAGGTAAAAGTTGTTTGGAGCTATTAAGTTCTAATGAACGGATCTAATAACTGAAATTTGCAGTATTAATATCAAACTATTAAGCAAATCTAAATGGTCAGTTAGTCATTTTCACATCTCGATCGTTCCACATCCCAATGTCTTTTAACGCCCTATATTTAATACAGAGACTGCTTTTCATTTATAAAGATAATAATAATAACAATGGTAACCATTTGAATAGCATACTAGCAAAAGCAATAAGATCAAGAAAACAACTGGTTGAAGGCTGGGCAATCCCCTGGGTGTCAGAACCTCAGTGAAAGAGTGGGTTGATGTATTTCGATTATCTCCTTCGCTGAGGCTGTGGTTCCCGAGGGTAGCTGAGCAATGATATCTAATGCCCCGAAACCTGCCAAACATTTTAAACGGGTGTACATTTTTGGATAATTTGATTTAGCCAAAAAAAATTAAAGATATTCTGGTTATGATCCGTAAATGGTGGTTTTAACTTCAGGAAAACTGAATGGTTCATGTGCGGAAGTTATTACTAGTATTCTAAGGGACAAAATTCCTCTTCCATAAAAACTGGATTTAAGTTACCTATGATAAATAGTTTGATAGGGCTTGATCTAGATTAATTCATTGAGTTTTTCCATATTCCTTTGACTTCCATTGCTACAAAACAACCAACAGTGGAAAACAACAGCTGGAGGTAGTTTCAACTGCTGGTCTCTCTTCACAACCCACGAATCTTGCTTATCGATAACACATCTGTTCAATGTGGGTTTTTTTCTAATCGATCATCTACGTGGATCCCAAGTTGGGCTATATCGTCTTTTATAATGCATTTTTTCCTCACTATTAATGACTGGAATTTCAATTTATTAATTGTCTCATTATTAAAATTATTAGAAGAATCACTACTAAGGAAGTCTCTGATTCAGGGAGCCCAGTGTTCTGAAGTAGCCTTCTAAGTTTTATCCTTAGTTTTGGTCTATGAGATATGAGAGTTTACACTAACACCATAGGCATGTAATTTCGCAATCAATAGGTTCATTGGAAGGAAGTTTGGAGGATGTAGTTGACGCAGCTAACAATTTTCAAAAGAAATCAAGTTGATCCACGGTAAAATCAAACTTTCCTGCAATTTTGCAATTGGCAGCTCAAACTTAAGCAACCTTGTAAGTGCACTGTAAGGGGGTCCCAAGTCTGTGCTTTCTCTAAAAGCGCAAAATACTATTGGCATCAAAAGACAATAGCAACGGGAAGGGAAAACGTCTTGGAAACTGTGTTGAGCATGGCCTATCTGTTGATCTTTAATCAAAATTGTTTTTTTTTTCATAAATGAACATATTTATTAAGATTCCATGCATAAATTAAAAAAAATAATCCTAACTCATTGTTAATCAACTAAGAACGGTCATCGCCATGCGTTTCTTTCTTCAGTAATGCTCCTTAAATTTGAGCAGTCCAAACTTTGCCGCAAATCAAATTAATACATCCCAATTTTGCACCAAGAAACAATACCGATGCGCTTTGTGAACCTAATAACTTTGAATGGGTGCTTATTGGCGAGTGGCAGCTACACAAGAGGAACTTAAGATAAATGGCTCGTTTTCAAAGATTTTTACTTCAATTTCTCTTGAGAAAAAAAAACAAGATGCTGAAACATATATATGGGATATTTCATTATCAATTAAATATGTTTTAATTATGGACTAGAAACATAGGTTGTAAAAAATTGGCATGCTAGGGTTAAGCGTATTTCAGGGTGAAGGCTTATTGTGATTTGTTACCACCAGTTTTGGGATTATTTAAAGAGGGTCTTGCACGAGGAGGAGAAAATTCTCGGAATACTAGTACGGAAGTTGGCTTACTTTTGCTTACTTCAAACTTAAACACACGATTCAAAACAAAAGTAAAAAAAGCACAAAAGTTTCATACCTCATGATTACTGGGAACAGTAGAAAAGTACAGCGTGATTTTTTCTGTTTGTGTCGCCTCAGACATTTTCTATGTCTTGATTCTCTCAAAAGTTGGTTCTGGGTCTGAGTAACTCTTCTGAATACAACATGAAAGCATGCACACCCTTTTTGTATACCCCATGCTAACCAGTTTCGTATTTTGTCAGCTTGAGTGCAACGTGTGAAGCTGTGTTCAAAAGACAGAGATAATATTAAACGGAAAGCAATACAGCGAGTAATTACAATTGGACTGGCAAGAACAACAAATTCAAGTGAAGCTAAAAAGCACAAAAATTGAAATAAAGGCTTCTTAGAAGATAGGGGTATTTGTATGGAAATACACCAAAAGGTTAATGGTTGAGAAGAATTGCAGTATCTTTGTTCCCTAGAAATACTAAAATATCTTTTTCTTGAAGATTCTTCTGAAAGGTAAAATGACCATCAAGGTTAAAAATGAATACCAACAAGTATGTAACTCTAATTTTTGTGATTTCCTATCGTATTATGACACTTGGCCTCTGTAGCAACCAAGGAACCTTAGTCCTTTGATACAACTTCTATAGCAAAGCCTACTGGAAAATATAACACAGTAACGCCCTTTAAAAGCTATAGGCAACAACTGCTGTGGTGTTTGTGTAAAAAAATCACATAAAAGAAACTACGTTGCGAAATTATTCAAATTTTCTGTGTGCTTGTATCTTACCCTGCATCACAAATCCTATGGCCGCAGGCTAAATATCTACATATTCTGTTAAAACCCCATTCTTAGATTGGCATTAAAATTAAGCGACTTTATCCAGCTGCAAATCCAGCGCACGGCTGTCACTGTTGCACGCCTTTGGCCGCAAGTTACAAATTTTTTAAATGAAAGTAAGTTATTGATTTGCAGTAAACGTAAAAGTTGCAGAATTGCAGTAGGCTTTTCTGTAGGACAAAATTCAATTTTTGGCTTCATAAAACATAGTTCACGGACAACGTAGGATCTCTTGTTACAAAGCAGAAAAAGAAGCATTGACGGCTGACGGCTAAAAAGTCGAGAAATATAACATGGCAAGCGAACAGCACCTACTCTACTGTAGGCACCGTTTTAATTGTCAGCTTTAATGTTTAAAGCCAACCCCATCCCCAAATAATGGCGTATAAGAAAAGCCTGAAATCTGCAAAAGTTTAATGCAAAACCACTGATATAGCTGTTTTCGAAGCGGCAGTTTCTGCCGCGGGGCGGCGACCAAAGTTTGAAAGAATCTGGGATCTTTAAAACAGTCATAAACTGGTGTGCTTACTCAACATGGTTTAGCTTATTCTTTATGCTAAAACTTTCTATCAAGTGAACCTCGAAAGTTTCTGTTCGTCAATAATTATTTCTAGCTTTGAAGAAATGACTGCACTTATTTTAAACACGAGTTATTTTTAATCACAACCAAAGCAAAGGTGTGGGAAAATAAAAGAACAAATCCCTTTCGCACATATATCCAAAATGATGACGTCATAAAAATAGATTTTGGAAATCTTTTAATTGGACCGAATAGCCTGAAAGACCATGATGGGATACAATTAAATGTGTAAATATGATAAATGTAATCTAAAAGAACAGTAATACATTAGCACTTTCTTGACTTAGTAAATCTCCGATTTTTCACATTTGGAGGTACTTCTTGGTGTTTCCGATTAATTCATTTCATTTCAACATATTCATACAGGGATAAGTTTCATCTATTAAAAGTATATTTTATATCTTTCAGGTTATGTTGTCAAAAAATTCTAAAATATAACTTTGATGACGTCACACTCCGGTACTTTTACCTTAAATGTGTACACTCTGTTTTTGGTAGAAATCAGAACTACAAATTGATAAAATAAGATCTTGGCACAAAAATTAAAGAGAGACAACCCAAATATGGCAGCACGAAGCATGGTGAGCAAATATCCAATGACGTCACAAGCGTTTACGCGAATAAAGCAAATTGATAGGTTAAAGCGCTAAACAAGATTACTATTTGATACCATATTGAATTAGTTATAATTTTCTAAAACCAAGTACATGCGTGTACATTGGTTAACGACATGCGTGTTCTAAATGCCCGCTATACGTAATCTCCTGTAATGGATATCAATACAAGCAACTACAAATCGAAATGCAAGTGATCAAGATCGCACACAAAAGTTGCATGTTGCATCTACGTTCAGCGCAAACCTTGAAGCAAGAACAATTATACCTGGTAAACAGATACAATAACACGTTCTACAATAACAACAACTAACCACGGGTTACACTGTGTAACACCGTTTTTTAACTTCCAATGTTGCATCTACGTTCAGCGCAAACCTTGAAGCAAGAACAATTATACCTGGTAAACAGATACAATAACACGTTCTACAATAACAACAACTAACCACGGGTTACACTGTGTAACACCGTTTTTTAACTTCCAATGTTGCATCTACGTTCAGCGCAAACCTTGAAGCAAGAACAATTATACCTGGTAAACAGATAAAATAACACGTTCTACAATAACAACAACTAACCACGGGTTACACTGTGTAAAACCGTGTTAACTTCCAATGCCACGACACTGCGTTTGAACAGGGCCACGCGGATCCAGAATCCATGGATCTACTATTTGTACAATAAACCATATTTATTTGTATTTATATGTATCTGAATCAAGTTCCCTTATTTGCATTAAGACCTTATAAAATCTATTCGACCACATCTCATTTCTAAGAAAAGCTTCATGTTTCTTGATCGTCACTTTTACTTACGTCATACCAAGATGCAGACCCATATTTAAAGATTCTAACTATCAATTTTGATTATTACTAAAAGCTACTTATAAACGTAAGCATTAACTATATTTCGCCTGTCCACCTTCAAGCCTTGCTTAGAAACTCTGCATTAGCAAAACAAATAATATTGTAAAAATCTGATTTTAATGATAAACAATAACAATATTGCAAATAAATAAATACTGGATGAATCCAAGCTTCATATGTTCCCTGGCACAGGCATATGTTCCTTTGCTAATCAGTTCCAAAGTATTTTCTTCCAAACTGAGTTGGCACTTCATTATATACTTCTGTCGTCAAAAGAATCAGCTTTTTGTATTTACCTAAGACATTGGTGACTCCTAAAGAAAGAAACACCAATCTTTAATCAGTCGTAAACGAAATCTCTACGAAGAGTATCCTGCCGTAATGGTCAGACGAATTTCCTACAGCTCTGTCTTCGCTATTTGTTTTACACATACTTTGATAAATTTCCACTTCCATTTGCATTCTCAAACAAAATCTTAGTTAAAAGCAAAACACTTGCTAAAGAGAAATGTATGCGGTCATTAGCCCCGGGCACTTCTTGGCAATTGCGTAGAGTTTTTGTACAACAATACTGGGCTGTTTAATAATAGGTGTTACTTTCATGCTGGAGAGACCAATAAGAGAAAATGATCTAATGAGTGAGGTACCCCTCTTGAGTCCAAGAAGCGTTTGGCTCCAATAATTCGAACATTTTCAGTTCTTCGTTTCCTCCAACAAATAATAATTTGCAAGAAACAAGCATTCTGACCAGGAAGGGATTCGTTTGGACGGGAGTTTATTGAGAAGAACCAAGGCACCAAAATGTAGTAATAACAGTAATTAAATTTTGATATCAAAGTACAATTAATCCAAAAATAAATCCAAAAAGGGGGAAATATTTAATAAATCCACTGTTCTTCTATAAGAACACCCACAATTTCCGCCAAAAGTCTTGGAACACTGACGTCAGTTTCCAAGGTCAAAATCAATCATCCCCTTCTCCCCCACGGAACAATGTTGTTCTACTAAGGGAAACTACAAAGGGAAACATCTATACTGAAGTTCAAGAGTTGCTGCAAGGATATCGACTTTGATTTTTAACTTTTTCTCTAGATTCAATTATTGTAAAAACTTTTTAAACTATATTGTTGTAACATTTATATCGTAGGTACATTAGTTTCACAGGTCCTTGATTGATAGCTGCAAACTCATTTTTGCTGAACAAGTTTACCTGTATAAATATGGTCTTATTGTTATTATTATTACATGAAAAGGGGTTAGGATTAGAAAGCAATTTTTTGAGCTTCTTTTATGACATTTCTCTTAATTAACAATATTGTTCTAGGGGAAGGGGCGGAGGTAGTATTTTTTTCGGAAAAGGAATGAAAGTTATAAAATGCAATGCAAATTGCTGGATGTTCCAAGTACTTTTGGCAGGCACTGCAGGTACAATTTGCCATTAAACAAAAACATTGTTATGTTAGTTTTATGACAATCCACAGATGTAAAATTAGAAGAAAAAAATAAGGTGTTTTCCAAACTTCCCTTAATGCTCACTGGCAAACAAAACAAAGCTCACTGGCAAATCAACCGTGCCACTAAATGTTATTCAAAAAATATTTTACAAAATTGTTACTTAATTGTCTTGAAAAGATCTTAAACTCTGTCAATGAAGAAAAACCCATTTTGAAATAATAGCAGTATCAAGTACACTCAAGCCTCAAATTATCCAAAATGAGAACATCGAACCTCTGCAGAAATGACCTGCTTCTTATAAAAAAAATGTACAATCACTGCCAAAATTACTTTGAACACCCAACTCTTTGCGCTGTGCTTTTTTATTTTTCATTAGTTTTCCCGAATACAACTACTCCCGTCCCCCTTTCCCCCCAAAACAATGTTGAAAGTAAAGAAAAATATCATACAAGGCACACGAAAAAGCGTACTCCATAATCCCTTCCTTTATTCTATAGTAAATCAACATTGTTCTTTGGGGGAGAGGGGGTGGCTAAAATTGCCTTTCAAAACTAACGTTAGTGTTCCAAGACTTTTGGCAGTGATTGTAGGGCAATGCTTGCGCTGGTGGAACCAAATACGTAATAAATCATTACCCCTTGCTTAAAAATACATTTGACGACATACCGTGGTAAGTTGCAAACAATGTAAGAATAATAATCTTTTCTTCATCGACACCAGAATCCACGAGAACATCAACTGCAGCCGACACCGTATTTCCGCTGTCTAAAAAAATTAACAATATCACTCAATTTGACAACTAGTATATCTTTTTTCTTTAGAAGGTACCAGGCACGTGGGTACCGCTCAAACTGTTCAGATTTCTGTTCTGTACTGTTCAGATTTCGCACACCGACTTTGCTTTCATATTGCTGGACCAGCTTTGGGTGGGAGGGTATACTATACATCCATGCTACCCAGCACTGTATTTTAGCTGCTTGTCTAGAGAGCTTGCTTTTGCATTGTATGGTCTTGGGAAAAAATAAATAAGGACAAAACTTCCCAATAAGGAAGTAGTGTAAAGAAAATCCAATGGTATCTGGAAGCGATTCAATAACGTTTGTAAACCAATGAATCACAATAATAAATTACATCTTATTTTTTCAATGATTTACATTAAATAGCCATCCTACTGGCACTAAATGATTATTGTTAGATAACTAAAACATACTAGTACACAAATAGCTTTATGGTAAAAACAAATCCAACTTACTTAGCAGTGGATACATCAGGAAGACCCTTCTTTGATCGATGTCTGGTGGGAATCTGGCGTAACATACCTAAAAGAAGCAGCTAAATTGAAATTTTGACAACAACAAAAACTTTGTCTTAAATTAGTGATAACTATAAACCTAGACCTGTAGACCTGATCATCGACAGATTTAAAAATTATAGAATTCCCTTTCAAACAACGCTAATTAAAGGGCCTTTAATGCAAAGGTTAAGACATTGGTGACGTTCCTCAAGGATCGGTACCTGGTCCAGTACTTTACGTACTCTATACAAATGAAATTCCAGAAATCGTTGGAATGTATGCCCAGAGTTCAAGAACTGCAGTCAACATGCATGGCTATGCAGCTGATTTGTAACTTTTTTGAAAGCTGAACAATGCAATCACTTGAAGCCTGTGTTTTAAATTTAGAACGATGCTGTAATAAAAAATACTGATTCTCTCAAAATAAATTAAATGCCAACCCAGATCAATTCCAATTTATCATCTATGGTTCGAAGCAACAGCACAAAAACATAAATAAAAGCTTAAATGAAACCATAAAAGAATTAACTTTGAAAGCAACATCTGTTTTAAAAGCCTTGAGTTGAACTAGCTGAGATGGAACTAACTAGATGAAAAATAATTGACATGGAAGTATCAAGTACCAAAATTAAAGGGGATGTTTCACATAATGTGTGCTTCAACTGTTGAAAGAAAGAGGATATACGAGCAAAGAAACAAAATGTTGACAACGCCACAGTTAGATCAGAAAACAATGGCGACAGCCTTTATGCGAATGCTGTCAGTACAGACTAACAGAAAGTTCGACATATTAGGATTTGCAGAGAAAGTAATAGCCACATTTTCTAAACGCCATCGGACCTCTGATATTATCAGACAACTTAATTGGTTGGAATCTAACCAGATGTGACATTCAATAGAATGGCTCTGTTTTACCTATCTGAAAACTTGAACTTTCACTATTAGAGAAAACATGAACTAATAGAGATATTCAACGACACTACATTCATTTGTAGACACAACACGATAAGTAATTGATTCGAATGTATCAACATCAGCTTCGTCTAGTCACCAGAGAACGATCTACCACAGGAGAATTCAAGACTTCAATGCACTACCAACAAGCTCTTGCAAGCGGAAACAATACAAATCTTTCATTCATCGTGCTGTTTCAAAGGGTCTGGGTCGAATTTGCTAAACAATGTTCGCTAATTCACTATGACCAAACTTTGACCAAGAGTGAGGAGAGTTGCCAGCTTTCTGTAATTCTAGGCGTAGGAATCACGAGGAAGGGCTACATCGAGAGGAAGGGCCAGGACACTGCTTGATAAGCATAGCTTCTCAGTGTCCTAAAACTACCTTCGCATGCTAGGTAGCAACAAATATAAATACAAATACAAAATACTATTCTCATTGACTCTGAATCAACTTCACAACTTGTAAACACGGCAGCTCATACTGTAGTTCCAACTTCTCTGATACAATCCTTTGCAGATTCAACACAACGACCGTGTGATAAAAAACATATATCAAAATGACCTGGCAAACTAACATCCAGCTTATTCCAGAAAATTCATGTTAAACAGCTTTCACAACCTATCTTTCTAAAGCAATGTGCAAATCTATGGTGAAAGTGCCGATAATAAGACTAAAAACCACTCATAAATGCATCAAAACTGTAAACGTTTTGAAATCGGTAAACAAGTATATACCTCTTGTTTTCCTGATTCTTCCTCACTCTTGATTAAAACTTTACCGATTCTTATTGATCTGCAGCATTCTCTTAACCCTTTTTCCATTGCCTCTCCTGGAAAGTAGAGAAAATTGAAAATGAGATTGAAATCTTAATATCTAGCTACAAACGCTCTTCAGCTACAAGTTATTCAGCGAAAAGGTTACCATGGTGATTACTGAATGGTATTGTGAAACCGTCATGAATAACAGCCTGTTTGCAGAGCTGCCAAAAATATTTTCTTTTCTGGAAACATGGTAAACAGAACAAATTTTTTTCTGCCAGGTAAAAGTATTGTGCACAATAACTCGACCAATAGTACACACATTTTTCCGCAAGGGCTTCTAATCTATTGGGTCTAGAGAATATTTCGAATAAAATATCGTAATTTGATTATTCACTGCATCTTTTTATCTTTGGCAAAGATTGACTATGCGTAAAGAGTAAAAGTGATTTGTGAATCGAATGGCGAAATGTTTACTGACTGGAAGAAAAACTTCAACATAGATGGTGCTCTCCACAATTGACGGGTGTTTGGGGAAGATAATAATGTTAGCTTTAGGAAAGATGAACCTGGTTACCTTTTTTACCCTTACAGCCCCCTTTTTGACCTTTCCTTTCATATGATTAGTACACATGCGAATTTGATATTTTACATTAATAAATGGTGACATCTCAATCTCCAAAGGACAAATATGATGTGAAAGAACATGAGGAAGAATTTCAATACCGATAAAAATCTTTGCCAAATCTGTCAAGATCTCAATCAAAACTTTGTCAAGACCCGATTCAAGACTTGCAGGAAGAAAACTTAGGATGCAATTTTCATAGCTTTTGATCTTTACAAATCCAAACGCATAGCCTAATATTAGGCAATTTAAACAGCATTTCAAAACATATAAATTGCCTACTTTAGCAATGCAGCTTTATCTGTTAACAAGGTCCAGGATATGGTAACTGAAGGTTGCTTCCAAGTTATACAATTTTTTGTGATATTCAACAAATGAGTAAAAGTTTTTGTAAAGGTTTCGAAAATGTGAAACTTCTTCATTTGATGCATTCTACAACCTGAGGACATTAAGTTCACATTTGTATAAACTTTCGATCTGATGTGAAACAGTCAAGAAGAAATTTTGTTATTGCAAAAATAGCTGTTTTTATTTGCCAAGCTAAAAAAATTTTTGGGAACCTATTTCCCATGTTCTGATACTTTTCACTGCTTTGCCTGCTTGTTTCATTTACTGTAGAATATTTAGGCTGGAGATGACGAATTAACAGACTGCTTCAAGGTAAAATAAGGAACTAAGATAGTTTTCCTGAAACATCTATATTTTTCTTTTCTTTCTTATTTTTCTCCCCAAACCATCATTGATTATCGAAGACCATTACGAGGCGAATAAGCAATGGCTCTTGAATTTCTGTGCTGTTTTAGTATGGTCTCTGGCTGTTTCTTCTTGGTTTCCAGCTTGTAGATACCATACTTAACCGCGATAGAAATAGAAAATTAACAGCACATTCGCCTCGTAAAAGCCTGCGAAGTAAAATAGCCTTCTTGTTTTGAACAAGAGAGCTTGCCAATTAAAAAATAGACGATGAAAAGGGGGGTAATTCGAATTGTTTCTATCGCAGCGTAGCAAACATGACGAGGAAAGCGTAGAAAACATGAAGTGACACCCCTGTAAGTATGTTTATCTATATTTATCCAGGGGGTGACTCTGGTATATCAACAATAGGGATGCTCAGGACACCATGGAAAAAAGATGTCTTTGCGGTTAACCATCTGTTCATTTAGATTTATGAAATGCAAGAAATATTTTTCTGACTCTCAAATACTAGTGTATATCAAAAATTGAATTTGCTTTATAGACTACCTTATAAGTTCTATTAAGCCCCCCTCTCTATCAAGCCCCCTCTCTATCGAGCCCCCCTCTCTATCAAGCCCCCCTCTCTATCAAGCCCCCTCTCAATCGAGCCCCCCTCTCTATTAAGCCCCCTCTCTATTAAGCCCCCCCTTATCAAGAAAAAAGGTAAAATAAGCCTCCCGTCTCTATTAAGCTCCCCCTCTTTAGCCGCTGATGTCAAACAAAGAAAACATGCGCCTTTAGTGGGTCTCTTGAAGGGTGTGATGATGATAAGTTTATGTGCACTATTATGCGCCTAAGAAGTCCATCAAAATTTGTTTGAAAGATGTCCCAGGGTTATCAATTGATCCTGGTGATTAATTAAACTTTAGAAACTGCTGGCAAAGTTTTCTGAGAACACAACAAAGAAAGATTTCTTAAAAACATTTTTACTTCAAATATTAAATAAGCCCTCGCCCCTCTAATAAGCCCTGCTCTATTTCAAGCCACCCTTCTAGGACTGAAAAAATAAATAAGCCCCTTTCCCCCCAGCACTTAATGGAGATTCTAAGGTAAGTCGAAAACAGTCTGCAAATTTCATAACCCAACCTGAGCACCCCTATCCTAAATACACCAGAGATATTCACTCAAGAAGCCACTTTTACTGTAACAAAAGTTTGAGTAAAAAAAGCTTACAGTAATTTTAATAAGATGCAACCAAATTCTGAAGCAAAATAACTACAAGTGTACAGTTAATATGGAAATTTATGACATATTTTGCTCTGTAATTATGACATATCTGTAGCCTTTTTTTAGTATGTATTAAAATCACTTACTTTATCTTACATAGCTTTATTGTTAATATGTGAGCACTTTTATTTTTCTTTATCACTCTAAACAGAACTCATTTGAACACAATATTTTTGACCTTTTATCCTAGTATAAAAACCTGAATCAAAATTATTCCACAACAAAGAATACAACTGATTAGTAGACAAAAAACAAGCTTTCTTTTTAACCTTTACATATCCAGTTCAATTAGTAATGTTCTATGAAAACCAAAGTATTTTCAACTCAAAAATTTATGTTTAACCGTTTTTGAGAAGAAATAAAGCACACTTACAAGGCAGAAAAAAATTAAATATCTTACCACTTCTAACAATGCTCACGCCACATATCCCTCTTCTAAACTTTAACCCTACATAACTTGCACCTGAAAAAAATGAGAGTTGCAATTTGAAGAAAATTTTACTTTATGTCATTGTTCCCTCAGCACAGACAAACTTCATTTTAAATACATTTCTCTTGCTGTTCAACCAAGACATTTTACATTCTTCTCAAGAAATTATCACTTATTAAAAAGCTGGCGACTATTGTGTGGCCACAATACAAAGGTGGCTTCTTTAAAGGTTCAAGCTGCGCTTCTGGGCCATGTCACCCCTGGTTATTCCTGAATCTTTTCAAGTATCCATCAAGCATTTTCAAACTTACCTGTTGGTGTTTTTACACAGCACTCATCAAATGGTAATTGATTTAAACCCTCTTCAACAACGAGCCGGATCTGCAAAGAAAAATAAAGTAATTTTATGGCCATCCTCAGAAAGACTGTAAACGATCCAAATGTGAGCAAAACTATAAAAAACTTTCTTTCTATGGCCTTTAGGTTAGCTTAAAATAAGGGGACTTTGGCCCCCCAATATTTTCTAAAACAATGATTTTTTGTTCTAAACAATGGGAACGTGTGACGTCATCTTATCAAAACAATAGGCTTTCTTCCCCAATATATGACCAAGAGTGTCCAACCCTGCTAAAAATGCATTTCAGAAAACTTCTTGCACTGTCATCTCTAGCAATTGTTTAGAACATTATACCATTTTCAAGCATACTTTTACTATGTTCTGTTGAATGAAGTCTGAAAAGGGAATCCATACTCATTACATGATGAGCAATGGGGGCACCAGCCTCTAGGCCCTGGGGGGACCCACACCCTTTTTTACACCAGAAAACACCCTTTTACCAACATGGAATGCCAATTTTACCTGAGTGGAAGGCCGAAGACTAACTTTTGGTTATGTAAAGGCAGTTTGAAAAATCACAGTATTATATCACAAAAAGTATGTTGCCAAAAAAATACACTTCCCCGAAAATTTTCTCATCAAATTTAGGCGAAATAAAAAATTTATCTTGCCAAGAACTGGGGGATGTGTCCCCCCAGGGCATCATAACTGATTATGAGGTCCCCTAGATCTCAAGGCTCTTGGACAGTTGACCCCCCTTGCCCCCCTTTTGGCAGCCTGCAAATGGAAGCTATGACAGCAGGGCTGGTATGGTCATACATTGTACATACAAGTTTCAGCAGTGTGAATCATACTAGCGATTTGAAAAAATTGGCTGAATAAATGCAGTCAAGTGTTGTTGTTGATTTGCTAGGAAGAATTTTTTTTCTCAAACAATAGAATGCTTTCTTCGCTGGCCAACCTTACAAGATAATCAAGTTCACATTAAAAAGCAAGCCTCCAAGGAAAAGTGTTTGGCCTTTAAATCAGCAGTGCAAAATTCTTTGTCATCATTAATAATCATAGCTCCATAGGCAGAGCACTTAACTCCAGGCCAACCAGAGCAACAGGGGCAAAGCACAAACAAAAAGGGCAAAACAATATAGTAAAACAAAAAATGCTCAATTTCCCAAGGTCAAGGGAGGCGACTGCCCTGCTGCCCCCGGTTGAATCAAAACTGAGTGGTTACAGGTTCAAGCAATCTCTCTTTGGGTAAGTCAATCGTTGGTAAAGGGCATCCAAATTTCAAATGACCCAAGGAGTCATATTCAAGCCCTCATTATCACAAAAAGCAGATGGTGAATTTGAGAAAAATATTAAGAACATACCAGTCGATCAGCATAGAAAATAAACTCACTTCGAGTTGTTTCCCTGAAAAAATGAAATGATTAAACTATTGACTTGGAACTTTAAAATATGTATCAAAAATTATTTGGCGACTCCGGGAAGAAACAACACTGGCTATGAAAAGGCCTTGTCAGTTTGGCTGCGTGGGCTATTTAGCCCTTAAAGAACTGTTGCTAATTTTTCTCATATTTGAGTATTTATAAAAGGCAAAAATTTATTATATTGCCTATTATATCAACACTATTCACCTTAAGAAGGCATTTTGTGTGCATTACTACCATTAATTTTTTTATTACCACACCTTAAAACAAGACAAAAGAGGAACATAACTTTTTGGGCATACAGCAAAGTTTTGTTAGGTTTTGCCAGTCAAATGTGGTTGTTTTTGGAATGCCTAGTGTATATGTGGTGACTTGAAAATTAATTGTTTCGTATTTGACAGCATACTGTAATGTTTTTCACTCTGTTTATTTGTAGCATTAATCACGCTTTATATCATTTCTTTCTTGCGAGACATTTCCTATTCCATTGCAAGTTTTAGCAGATAATACAATAGTTTGTTAACATGTGCTATATAAGGAACAAAAATATCCTATTTATAACGGCATTTGATAAATATGTAGACATGTAAGACCTCTTTCTCTTTATTTACTAACACCCTGATATTTAGCAATATATGGTACAAACATAGAAAAGCATAGCTGCATAGATGAAATGAGAACATTGGTTTGAAAAACCGTGCGGGCAGAGAAAAGCCCTCGCAAATTTATTTTGCGCAGGGTTTGCACAGGTGCAGGCTATAGCCAACGTCTCCAGGCAAGGCCTGATAATATTCATAAGATATTTATGCAGGGGCTGGCCACAATCATACTGATTCCCATAGGGATTAAAGAAATTACTTGCTCATATGAGCCCGCACCATATGTATGCAAAACAACAGTCTTTGCAGGCTACAAGTAAAGCTTCTTTCCATTCTTATCAGATATAGAAAAAAATTCCAAATTTTTGAAATTTTTCAGATATAGCCCTTTGGTTTAGGAAGAATAAAGTTCAAATGGTAGTCTAGCTTTTAACGAAAGCAAACCAAAGTGAGAGTATGTTTATAGACACTGTATGTAAGTACCTGGGACATAAAATCCAAGGTCAACTTGTTTACCTAAAATCTTGGCTGAAAGACACTCACAAAAAACCAACTAGGTATCATCGCCCCTCCCACCCTACCTAATAATTGTCTTGAAACATATCCTTCAATCACCTCACCTAACATGAACCTCCAGGGCTGGTCACTAGATATAACATTTTGCAAAATATTTCTCAGCTATCCTTTTCCAAGATTTTAGTTATTCATCAAAATATTTAATATTTAGGTATTTACAAAATAAATATGTTAGAAACATGTCTATTTGAGAATCGATTAGTAACTTTGCTTGTACATTATATAATAATCATGTTCCAAGATAATATGAAGTAGATTGAATTGAAACACCATGGAATACATCTAAATATGGAAAATCAGGTATATTGGTCAAAAGTCAGGTGCGATATGGCCAATTAAAGATTTTAAGTTTGCTAAAGCCCACTGTACACAGCAGACTTTTGTCTTTGAAAGACTAACATTTTTGTCTTCGAGTAATCCGCACATCGTAAACTTTTCTATTTGAAAGACCAAAATTTTTGTCTTTGCAGAACCCAAAAATGATTTTCCTATGCAAAGCACTGACAGGAAACTGCTTGGCAGGAATTTTCAAGAGAGCATCATCATGTGATCTAAACACAGTCACTCATTGACCACTCAACCTGTCTTCCAAAGATTTTTGTCCTTGGGACCCGCACATGCCAGACTTTAGTCTTTGTCTTTAAAAGACCATCTTCGAAAATGAAACATGTTTAATTTTGAAGACCTTTTTTTGAAAGACAAACATCTTTGTCTTTGACAAGCGCACACAGCAGATTTCTGTCTTTGAAATGCAAAAGACAAAAATCTTCATCTTTCAAAGACAAAAATATGCTGTGTGTGCTGGGCTTAACAGATTTCTGTTATTTTGGCTCTGTTCATAAAGTTGTAAACAGGTTTTTTAGGGTGAAAGCCTGTTCTTATGTGGCCATATCTCAGCCAATTCGTAAAACCTTCAACTGATTTTGCATATTTAGAGGTATTTCATGGTGCTTTTTCAGGTTATGGGATCTAAATTCTAAAAATAGATTCTTGCGATGTTATCACATGGGAACTCTCTTGGACTATTGATGTCAATATTTGATATATGTGTGGTTGATAAGTTACAAAATAAACATGGTTGTTGTGTGAAATTTCTTTGCAAATGCTCTGCTTTTTAGCCCTCAGTTCCTTTAAGAAACCACTTTCGAGAAAAATTGTTGGTACTTCTAGAAAATTAAAAGATATTATTGTAAGAGATCTGAGATTTAATTCAGGCTCAAAAAAGAGCTCCAGTATTTGCATGTATGCATATAATTTCTAATTTGATTGACATAGCCAAAAATGTTTAGCTGGGCTGAATGTTTTTTGGCTTTTCAGCAACTACATTTTGAGCCATTCTCATGACTGAAAAAATAACCTAATCTTCATAAACCACAAAGAATAATAAAATAATTGCTAATACTTGAAAAACCATGTATATAAATGGATAGTGTGTTATTATCATATCATATCATATATCATATCATATCATACTTCTCTCAATTACTACTATATTGTCCAGAAACTTAGGAAACCCAGAAAAATTGAAAGTAAGTTTATTTTAAATATGAGGGAATGGAACGTGGTTCGCAGTTTTAGAAGTCCAATTCTGGACGACACCTGCGGCCCGAGGGATCTTGTGGCCCAAGCTTCCATAAACCAATTTGAAGAACCCAATCTTATTAGGTTCTTAGAATCGTCTACTAGTTTAGTTTATTAAAAATTCATTTCATAGGTGTATCATGTTAAACAACAATAGATCCGAAACCAAAAGTTTTGCATGGCTATGTAATTTCGATTTTGCTCAAATTTACGACAACGTACGTCTCACTTTAACCATTCTTTACTTTGCCTCACTTCATTTCATTTTTCCCCAGCTCCATAAATGCTAGATTTGAGCCAATGATGAACTCAATTTTCACTAAATCACATTCATTGGAAAAACAACGAGATACTGTTTCAAATTTATCGAGTCAAAGAAAGGTGGTATATGGGGTCAATTCTTGAACAAATATTGACGTAGGTAATCGTCATCAACCGAGAATTTCCACGTGTACTCCTTAGGACGACTCGAAGTAATCCGTTATTTGAAATTATTTTAAATACTCCTGTTAATACTTTTGCCAGCAGAAGCTTGATGCTTACTCCAATTTCATGTCAATTTAAATGGTTGAATTATCGGAGATGCCAACTCGTCCTAGGAGCCAAAAATGTCTCATTGTCGCCCCCATTAGATTAGCACCGCAAGTCAAGAGAAATAGGTAGTTTTTACATGTTACCTCCCCGCTAAACAGTACATCAAGGATAAAACAAACTGATGCGCAACACACTAAAACGCATTCATGCCATGGATTGCAAATTTTAGTTAAAAGTAAAGAACGCGAGAATGCCGAGAATGAACCAACATTTCATCAACCTTTGAAACGCGCGTTTTGGCAAATGTATTACCTGTCCCGAAGAGTTGTTTGTAGCTCTCTTACTTGATCGTTGACTCTCAGCAATTTAAGCCTGTGTTCGAATTCTTGCAAAATATCCTTCAACTGTTTATTTGCTGCTTCGCATGCACTTATTTTCTCATCATCTTCAGCACCACAGGCACCATTTTGTACTAGGAGAACGGGTGTCGAGATACCAATTTTTGGCGAGCCATTTACCACTAGATGCTCGTTCACAATATTTGGCTTTTCTTCGCGTTCCCTGTTTTCATTTTTCGGTACTTCTACTGTTGAAGGCATTTTATTGCTTCTTTTTTGATACAGTTGGCCTGTGAACTTTTCGTTTGCGTTGAAGCACGTGCGCTCGTGTTCCACCGACTTCGAACTGTTTACTACTGACAATGCTCCTTCACGGCAACCTCATCCGCTTCGTCAAGTGCTGTAGACATTGCCTGCGCCCCAGTCCACAAATGCTGCTACTTGCTACCACTGATTCCAAACAACTAAATAAGTTGTTCTTATGCCTTCTTGCTGCAGACAATGAAATGATGTCTTTTTAACTTTGGTCTCGTGCTAAATTTGACAACAGTTTCAGTTTCACTTTTCAATTCAAATGTAACAATTGAAATTCAATAGTGTTTGATATCATTTTAAAGAGTTTCATCAAGATTTTCACGATTTTTATATTTCAAAGAATCTCTTTGACAAGAGAGCAAATTAAAAAGCACGAGAAATCCCCACCACCACCTTTTTCCATGAGTTGTTTGGAAAATCTCAATTTTTTGACCAAGTCGTTTAGTGCTTGCCGAAATTTTTGTCATGTGTGCCTTTGTGGTCTGAAGAGGACCTGTCATCTGGTAGAACACTATTAGAGGGAGAGATGCTTTTGTCGGTAACATTTAGTCTCAAACTTCCATGCCTTCTCTGACAGGTCAAGCTATACCACAACAAATTAGTGGCAATAAATCAGCTTGTAAAATTGTATTTTGAGTCGTCATGACATTGACCTAATTTTTAGGGGTAACGGTTTATATCATTGAGCTTTATTCTAAATTTCATGATGAAAATGAGAGCAAGGGAAATAAAGAAACGTCAAAATGCAATTTGAATGAAACTTTGCAAAGCTATGAGACTTAAACCAAAAAAATTTCGTTTCTCGCCAAAAGTTTTATTAGTGGCAGCTATCTATCTATCTACAGTATAAAATATATTGGTTATTTAATGGGTAAATATATTCTACAAAAGTGAGTTGATGTGACGCCGAAACTACCATTGTTCATTCCAATCCAAATTGAAATATTTTAAACTGGCTTTCTTTTATATTTAGTTTGATAGGATTTGTAATAGAAATTATTTGTGGTTTTCGAAAGAAATAAATCACAAAGTGTTAGCATGTGACCACTACCTGATAACTTTCAATTGGCCATAGTCCGAACATGACTGGTCATAGTCTGAGAAATTGTTTCATTTCTGAGTTATCGTTTATTCAAAGAAAACCTGTACCGATGTGAACCATACAAAAAAATTTTCGGATAAGTTAAAAAGATTAACCCGTAAAAATTGAATTGAATACCCACAAAACTTTTTAAGATACAGTTAGATCTGTAAATTTCGATTGCTTTAGGGATTTTTAAAATTTTTAGAAAGCAAAATGCTCGGATCACAGAGATTCGAATTATAGTGGTTCAGTTTTAAGGGACCTGAGAATTTTGTTCGATTTATCAGGGGCGCGAATTACACGAGTTCATAATAGACAGAGTTGACTGTATCCCATTCTTTGCACCTCAGAATTTCCGATGGAGGTGTTCTTAACTGCAAACAATGTCATGTGCTGCATGCATTGAAACAATGAGAATCTACGAAATCAAGCTGCATTTTCCAGCAAAACTCATAAAAGACGTCATCTTTGCCCCTATCCTTTTTAACCAACATCGGTTCTTACACCAATTTATACGTTAGAAGACAAAAGGTAGCTTGACCGTTGCAGACTAATTCTGAAACTGTAAACTTTTTCTAAAATTATGAAAGTTCTTACTCTATTGGCGTAATAATTCACGAACATTAGAATGAATTTAAATTAGGTAATGAGTGCAGAAGCCTAGTCTTGTAAATTGACTTTAGAAAAGCATCTGATACTGCCAAGTAGATTTTTGACCTTGATTCAGGGCTATAGCCGCCTTTGTTATTGTGCCCCTTTTCTGGTGAACGGTCTTTTTTCCATTGTTTCCAATAAACAGTCTCTTTTGTCCCTGTTGTTCTGAAAAAAATGAGCCCATCCAATACTTATATCTTCTATCCAATATCCTTCGAACAGTAAACACTGGGTAAATTCATTTGCTAAAGGGTTGATGTCGCAGGAATATTTGAAAGTTATCAGTCAAGATTGGTGTTGCTCTATTCTGCAGTTTTTTCCGGTGAGATTGTCCCGCAGCTAACCAAAAGATGCAGCAGTATCAGAGTCGGGGCTCAAAGAGACTTTGATAAACATCTGTTATGATACTCAACGTAAGGTACTTCATTTTAGACACTACATTGACATGGTCTCTCCATTTTAGCGAAGATCTTCATAATCAAGCAAAAATCTTGGTGATAAATCAGCTTATCTTAAAAGCAACGTTGACCGCTCTTACCTTTAAACAAAAGTTAGAGCCTATAGTGATAGAAGCTGTTTTTCTTCATAGGGCAAAAGCTTTTTCTGTGTACTCTTACATTACTCATAAACAACGTTTTATCGTTTACATAAGCTTTATAGTTTACAAAATAATGGGCCTAAAGAGGAAACTTAAAGTACCCCTAAGTTCTATGTTCTTAAGCGATCAAAAAGCTCCCAGCAGTATTGGTATCTGTGACTTGCATATGATGATTTAAACACTGAAACTCAGTGTTTTGAACACCATGATGTAATAGGGTCTGCAAAATTATTGTGTGGTCCAAACCATCAAAGCTTTTTTTATTCTACGAATGACATGCCGCCAGTATATATTTTCATACAGAGGTCAATATACCACTTGTTGAATGCCTAAAAAGCAAGGCTCCTGCCACGGAATAAAGCGGCAAAAAACCAGACAGGTGCTTGCATATAAGCTTATAATTATCAAGATAAAAAATAAATGATTATATATTGATTTATTAAAAAGTCAGGTAAAGAAATGTTTACAGTCGGTATAAAAAGCAGAAAATAGACTAAAACCCGCATGGGTATTCTCTTCAATGAGGAATTTAGCTACTTTCACTCACTGGATAGGAATATCCCAAGGGTTATAGATAGATATACTTCTATTTGCTCGGCTCGTTTTCTTCTCTAGCCACTTGATAGCGAGTACATGCTCAAAACTTCTTGTTTTTAACAATCAAACTATTATATTTTCATTCTGGTACTCGATTTATTTGCTAACTATATTGTCGTTAAGGATAGAACAATAGTGACAATATTGTTCTTTTAGGCATAGAGCGTGAAAACTAAAAAACCAATGTGTGAATAAAATTGTAAAATCGTATATGGAAAAATGAGAAAAAAGAAGATAAGGAGCGGTTAGAGTCTCAAACTCAGATGTGGGGGGGGGGGTGGTGGTTGTGTGTGCTCCTTGTATGTTTTGAGCAGTAAGCTTGTAAATGGGCAATGAATGACAAAAATCAACTCATCAGCCAGAAACCCACGAGGGACATTCCGGAGCATTCATTGGGTATGTCCATTTCTCGTAGGCGCCCCTCGCAATCCTGCGTCCAGGGTCACGGTTGCAAACATTAGAGAATACAAATGAAAAATAAATATATTATAACGATCAACAAAAAGTAGCAATCGACACAGAATGCTTATTAAAGTACTGGTGAGTGTATGGAGGCCCCCTAATTGAGTGGGCGAGGATCAACATGGTACGGCGTGGCTCTAGGAACCAAAGGGCTGGGAGAAGTGGGAAGGGTTAAGTGTATAACAACGTATAACCTTTATATAGCTGCATAAAGTCAGAGTTGGTGGGGTTGAGTGTGGCTATGGAAAAGGAGGGCCAAATGTGTTGAAAAAAGGAAGAAATGGGGCACCTGATCTGAAAAGGGGTTGGTATGGATAAAATGGAAGGAAATGGACAGGACTGAGGGTTGATTGGAGAGGAAATCTAAGGAAAATGTTGTATTAAAATTGCTACCGTGGGATATGTAGTTGAAGAAAAGTTAGTGAGGGTGAACAAGAGTCCAAACAGAGAACCCAAATGGAGAGAACATCTGTTTGGAAAGAAAAAGCAATACAAGGACAAAAGTTAAGACAGACGGAGAACAAAGCTAGTAACGACTCCTGGATAAGGCTAGCTAGAGGTAGTCCAAGGGAAGAAACCGAAGGTCTTCTGCTCTGCAAAGTTTAACAAAGGATGATGAACGTCATGATGACACTAAATGAAGGATTTGCTAGGAAAGAGAAGAATGAGCAACTTATATCGATATTCAGTGAATGAAGCTTTCTCAAAAAATACAGGGCCAGAAACGATAGCCTCTTGGGAGTCACGTAAGTAAAATACTTTACATAATGTTGAAAAATAGGTTGGATATGAATCTGAAACTCTTTGGAAAAAAGTGCAAATTACAATGGAACTTCGCGATTATATAGCTTTATCGGTGTTGAAAACCATATGGAACCAATATTCAGTATTATTTAGGGCCATGTGACCATAACAACACTCTATTTGACCCGTGAATCATTTGTGTGAGATGAAAAATAATAGATTTCAGCTCAGTTTGCTGTGCTTTCGAGTGAAGTACAGAACTTTTGACTGATAGTAGCGAGAAAGCACATTAAGTTTCAACCAAGATAATAATTTCTTTATAAGATTTTCCGGGTAAAATCAGTCGAGAAGAGCAAATTGAGACCATGCAAGTACCAAAATGTCTAGCTTTAATTGGTTCAATTTGGTTCGAGAGAATGAAAAGTTGTTACCCGTGGATAGCCTACGTATGCAAGCTAACGGCGAGTTCCGTGAATATTTAACATGTATGGGATGTTCTCAGGGACTCCGGGACGATCAAAGAGCGAGGGGGCAGGTTTCAGTAGAAGGGCTTTTGAAAAATATCTCAGCTTCTACTAATTCTTTTATAACTTCCATTTTACTACGATGTAGGAGTCTTGAAAATGGTCTGACTGCTGTCATAAGAATTTTTTACAAGTTTTTAGAAATTTCCTCATGAACAAAGCACTGCTGTATTCTCGTTTTTTTGTATTCTCGTCTTCAAGCAATTTTCATCAATGCTACCTTACTATTAAAATAAATATACGCAGACAGAAAGCAATTTGATAAAAGTCATCCGGGGGCGGATCCATCCTGAATTCTGACCTATGCAAAAGTGTTCCGAAAGAGAAGCCACGCCCTTTTAGTGGTGGAATGCGCCCAAAATTTTCTGCAATAAAATCGTTATCACTGATATTTAAAAAGTGGGTTCATAAAAGGAGGTCGATGGAACCGACCCACAAAGGTATGGAAGGGTGAATTTACCTGCAGGGAAAGAATGAGGAAAAAATATGCGAGTTTTAACCCACCGTGATAGGGTTCGAGCCATGGGCCCCCACTTTTACAGCACTACCTGGTTGACACTTCCTTATTGGGCAGGGTTGACATAGCAATTGACAACTCCTATTTCATTGGTTACAGCAAATAATTGCATAGGTCTAGCATAAACAATTGCATAGGTCAACTCGGTTCTCTATTGGTTGCCTGGACTGCTGCAGAGGCAAACACGACTTCTCATTCGACAAATCAAATCTGACCTATGCTCGCGCCAAAGATTGCAGAGGTGAAGTACACTTTGATTGGCTTACAAGAAGTTTGCATAGGTCAAGCAGGTGGTGATTGGCTCTGGAGGGAAAAGCAAGCTACTGGATTCAGAAAAAACGGATCCGATAAATTGGATCGGTTAAATCCGGATCCGTTAAATCCCTAGAATCGCCACCTTACTGTTCAGTGTAGAGGCTGAAAGATGGTCAGCAAAATATATGCTCTGTCCTTCGCATGCAGTTGGTATCATTGGGGGCAGATCTAGGACGGAAGTTACTAAAGAATTCGATAAAGGAACTATTGATTAAAGATTTTCGTAGTTTAAATTTTTTGTTTTGTTGCTGTAAAAATTTGACTTATGCTTCTGCATAGGGTTGCTTTAGTCTGGATCCGCCTCTGTTATCGGTTTGTGTTGCCATTGACTTATTATCTTCTTAGTTTGAATAACATAACTGGATAGATATTCTTCAGATTTGATTTGTCGTTTGTGGGAGTTTACTGGGCATCTGAAATTTGCACTGAATCTGGTCTATGTAGTTATTGCTTTGTTCCCTGTTCCGTCTACACTCGTTTTTTATAAGAAACTGGCTAGAAGAAACGAGTACTGGATAGTCAGAAAAAATTAAGAAACTCCAGTACTCGAAGCAAAAAAATCAAGCAACTATTTAATCGTGTTAAAACTGAGAACAACGAAATTTAGTAAAATCCAAGAACATAATTGGCCTGTTGGCCTAGAAGTTAAGACACAAGGGATAAAAATATACTTCCCACATCTAAATACAGCATCAGAACGGAAGCGAATCTCTTGACGTGATAAAAAGGACACGAACATTTCATGGCATCATAATAAAGAAGCTCTTAAAAACAATGAGTATTAATATTTCCAGAACATTGAGAAACTGGAGTACTCAACAATGGGCCTAAGATTCTTATAAAAAATGAGTGTATTATTCAAAAATGCAGATTGCTTAGTCGACTAATGTCAATAAGTCAAACTGTTTTACCAATGAAATGCAAGAGTAGGAAATGACATAACTTACCAGAACCTCAAGAAACCGGCGTTGTAGTATTGTAGACCGATGTAATGGCGAAAAACTTAGATCCACATTTCTGAAACTAGATCTATACTCTATTTCTAATGCTAAATCATGGAGACTGGCATCAAGGGTAGAGATGACAACGGCTTCATCATTACTTACTTTACGTGTCGTATCAGCTTAGCAGCATCAACTACCAACTAGTAACCATATATCAGCCAATTTGCAACACATTTAACGTGATTTCATTTATTTAGATGTATTTCATCGTACCATTTCAGGGTACAATGAAACCTCTGATAATGGTCACCTCTGTACAACGGCCACCCCCAGATCTGTGGCCAGTGGAGAAAGTAACTGCCGAATTTATGGTCAAAGGTCAATAAAAAACTTTCGCACAGCGGCCAGCGCCTTTAACGACCAAACTGCCGCCCCAATTGTACATTTATTAACGGCTAAGTAGGTAACACTTCGCAAAGAAATGAAAGAAATTTGGAAATTTTAGAAAGTATGTATGTTTTTTCAAATCATTAGCTTTTTCCAGCCTTTTTACGTCCCCTTGCTTGATATTTTAAGTCCTAAGCCATTCCTACGATTTTTTCTATTCAGTGACAGTGCATGATGTCGTAAGGTCTCTGTAGTCACCAGCTCTTTGTAGTTCCAGGCATAGGAATCACGAGGTGTGGTCACATCGAGAGGAGGGTCCAGGACACTGCTCAATAAGCATAGCATTTCAGTGTCCTAAAACTACCTTTAGAAGCTAGATATCAAACACTACAATACAGCAGATCATGACTTTGTAATATATGTAAGTAAAACAAAAGTAAAAATTGTTTAATCACCCACCCACCCTCTTCCAACTGGCTTTTTTTAATAAAAAGAACATTTAAAAAAGCCTCCCCATAGCCGCATAGCGGTGGTCACATCTAAAGCAACGGCCACTAAGTTTGTTTCCCGAAAGTTGCCGCTATTGGGGGCTCCACTGTATGTGGTCCAAATTCTAGACTTTATTTTTTTGCAACGTCATTACTGAAGAGCTCTTTATACCCCCACTGAATATACGAGCATGGAAGTGTCAATCATTTCTCGCTTAGTGGAAGGATTTGGTCCTGATGTTTATCAGGATTTTAGTAAAACCGTTTTACAGCTTACAACCAATGATTGACACCTTCAGCTAATGACTTGTTGCTATTTTGTTCAATTTTGGCGGGAAGCACAAAGGCGGGAAATAGGACATGGCTTGGAATCGAGATAGACAGCCTCTATCAGAATATGGCCTAACAACATCCAAAATGGACACCCGATAAGAAAATACAGGAATTTGGATTATTAAACAGAAATGTTCTAGCAACAACAAAAACTTAACACGTACAATAATTGAACATGAATACTTGTAGACGAATTTTCTCGGGGATTCAGCCGACTGGTGTGCCCCACATTGGCAATTATTATGGCGCGATAAAGAACTGGGTCAAACTGCAAAGTAAATCGGACCAAGTCATATTTAGCATAGTTGACATGCACGCATTGACGATTCCCAAGGATCCTGAAGGTTTAAGAATCACTATAGAACAAACAGCTATCAGCCTGCTAGCCGCAGGAATTGATCCAGTTAAATGCATTCTCTTCCAGCAATCGCAGGTGATGATCGTAAATGTTAACTTTGTTCATCAGGCCAGTCTTTTGTCTTTGTTTCCACCTCTAGCATCCACAGGTAACTTGTAGGACACTGAAAAGCCTATCATGCCCCGGCTATTCCATATGATGTGACCAAACCTGGCGATTCTTTATGCCTAGAATTGCATAGAGCTGCAGGCGACTCAGCTCACTCTTGGGTGGGGAAAGATTGGTCATGTCAAGGACTCGAACAACAGCCAGGACCTTAAACCACTGAGCCATCCTTACAGTTACACCTTAAGGTCAGACCCAGACTGTTAAGTTTGTTCTTCAAAGAGAAGCACAAAGGGGAAGCAATAATATTCATCCTTCATTCTGCCTGCACATTATCAAGAATCTGTCACAGAGTTTGTGCATAATATTTGTTTATCTGGTCATTTTCCTTAAGCATATTCCACAATTCAAACTCCTGAATCTTCTGAATGCACACAAATTTCCTATCTGCTCACTTCTGCATTTTGGCCATGCAAAATCCCTCAGATTTGACAACACACATCCACGTTTAGTTATCCTTCAAAACCACTGCCCATAAACATTGGGAAAATAACATTGGAAAATATCAGTAACAATTAGTCAATGCTCATTCTATTTAATTTTTGGTAAGATCGAATTACATGGGCTAAGATTATGGTAGTTTTTTATCGGTCCTATTTCTTTATTCCTCATAAGCACAGCTACATTCTTAATTCTAAGTACTAAGTTTCATATTTTCAAAAGGAACTTGTCCACACAAGTAACAGGGTTTCCATGCGATTTCTCTTGAAACAATTATTGTCTGAAAATTTGACTTATATTGTTTTGGCATTCCCTGGGCAGAAAAACTACTTTCCATTCTTGGATCAGTCTGTATCCCTAACTATGGTACGCATACAATGGATAAATTTTATCATGAAGCTGCTGCGCACCGAGGCTAGGAAGGCCTATTCAAATTATTTGACCTATGTTTGTACAAGAACAAGGAAAAAGGTGAATGAATGGTCCTTTGCACTAAGAAATTTGCAAACTTATACAAAAATGCCTTATTGTTCTCATAGGTCCCAGAACATTTGGAACTTTCTTGGATCTTGAGTTGTCTAACTTCAACTGGTCAACTAAATAGAATGCACCAATGGAAGGTATACATTTGTATAATGCACTTTTATTGCAGCCAATCAAATATTTAACCTATGTAATCCAATTTAAAATAATCCACTATTTGGGAAAATGCTATGACATTTCCTTCTGTGGAAAAGATTAAGGATGGTTGATATAATGGATAAGTTTTTAATTGGTGATCGGCTGATGGTTAATTTCAGGCACAATAATCATGAGATAGTAATCTTTTTATCTGGAGGTGAACTGTTTATCTTTGGTATTCTTGCAAGTTGGGCCTGGCTTGGACAACTTAGCCAATGTGAAGAAAGTTTGTGTACTTGTGTTGTAATTTGTCAGAAGGTAATTCTTCGTTGCATGAAGCTGCCCTAAAAGTTTTCTCTGCTCATCAGATGGCTTGCATTGCACTGAAAACAAGCTTAATGCAACCTTTGGTTTTATGTCTTTGTTAAATTTATTGCTTACAAATCTTTATTCTTTGTAATTGATTAACATAGGAATTTATTTTTGTTAAGCAAACAATGATCAAATGATTTCAATTTTCTTGTAGACAAAAGCTGCAGCCCAAAAGGAAAAATCTTCTCTGGGCCTCCTTTCATATCCAGTACTCATGGCTGCAGATGTTTTATTATACAAGTATGTATATTTTCCCTTCTTTTATTCCAATTTTTGTCGTTGATCAAGGAAACCAATCTGCTTTTCTTAGAAAAAGAAATATTCAAATTTGCTGAAATGAGGAAGAAGCAGAACAACCAGGGGACAAGCGGAGCAGCAATGGAACAACCATGGAGCTAGCAGAGCAGCCACTGAGTGAGCACGAAGCTAGCAAATCAACCTTAGCTAGTGGTGCTAACTTCAAGGAAACATAGAGGATTGATGGTCCTGAGGGCCAAATTTTTGCTAGAATGACCATTACACTATGGAGCAAAAATTTGTCAGTATATTGATTGCTACAAGTAAAATGTTATTGCCCTACCTGTAATCCTATACAATAATATGCCTAGAACCTTGTAAATGCTTTGTTATGTTTTTACTTGTTTCTACTTGGGTTCAGGGTTTTGGGATAAACACTAAGCTGAAGGGCAACTTAGCTATGTGTTTATTTTGATTCATTGGTGTAGTCTGAAGCTGTTCAGAAGAAACATTCTAGTTCAAAAGATACAATTTTTACTTGGTTTCCAAAAATCAAGGATGAAATAGACTTCAATCTGTCTACTTAGTCGGCTGCCACTGTGATTGCCCACATGTTCATTCTTGGATATTTCCACTGATTGAATGATCAATCCATTTGATCTGTGGGTTGTTTCACTTTTTATGTGGCCATTCAGTGGTTGTTCCAATAGTTATGTGGTCATTCTACTAGTTCTTCATTTTAGCAACAAGGAATTAATATCTTCTTCTGCACGGGGTGCTTTTTCCTGTCCACATAAAGTTTTCTATTTTAGCAAAACTGGCTGGAGCCTGTGTCACAAACCATAACTCCATAACCATAATCATAGCTCCTCCTCAGTTAAGGACTGTGATGCAGGCAAAGCTAATGATGGCTCGCTTCACTCCTCTATTCCTTGTACCCTAAGAGTGTCTTCAGAGTGTTTCAAATGCCCCTAATCTTTACTGTCTCTTTTACCTTCAATTCTCATTGGCATTTGCATGGATATTTCCATTCCTTCCTCCTTCAGACCAAGCAAATATACATGAAAATACCTTGAAAAATCAAAATGGATCTCCTTCTAGCATTGCATCTGCCAAGGAATGCCTCTTTGAATCAAATCTTGCACCTAATTCAAATCTTTTAGATCCATCTACAAGTATTCATTCTTTCACTGATGGCACTTATCTGATGAACATTCATTCTTTCCTTACATAGAACAACCCATGTTCCTGTTGGTGAAGACCAGATACAGCATCTAGAGTTGGCCAGGGATCTTGCTAGATTGTTCAATAATAGATATGGGCATATTTTTCCAGAACCAGTTCCTATTCTAGGTAGGTATAAAACTGAGAAAAAAATTTCTGCGAGTTGTGATAAAGAATTTGAAATTCCAAAAATACAGATAAATTTAATTTCTCTCGATCAAGATACACATTATAGCCTTTTGTAATAGATGTTTCTATAGAGTACCCAGGATAATTGTTCTAGAATATTTTTCTGGGGAGGGGGCACAAGCCACAGGTCCACATCAGCTATTAGCTGCTTTGTGCAAATTTTTAATGCATACCATATTGCTTGGTGTATAAATCAGGTTTCTAGGTCTGTAAAAAACATGCGAAAAACAGATTTCCAATTACAGTCTTGTATGAATATGTATGAATTCATAAGTGTAGCTTGAAGGAAATTTATGCAGAACAAGATTTCCATTTGAACAAAAAGATTTCCTTTGAACAACTCTTGATAGAAGATTGTAAACTATGGCTTTAGAATTAAAATTGTATTCTTTTTTGATACTTTTTCTTTTTTATACTAATTTGTGCAGATTTTAATCAAGACTTTTCATGTTTCTAAGGATGCTGCTGCAAATAATTTAGCTGAATATCAATTTAAAAAGTTGTTTTTAATTAAGCACCATTTGCTTGTGCATGATCACTTTTTAGTTTCAAATTATCTTGGTAGTCATTCATTTTGTTTGAACATGTTTTCAAATCAGTATGAGATAATCTTCACAAATTTGCTTCCTCTACTTTACTTTCACAGAGTTGCTTTACTTTACTTTTCAAAGAGCTACTTGAAGTGAAGAGTTTTTTATATAAAATCACATAAAATCAAATCCAAAAAACAGCTTATTTTATCTCTACCATATGCAGTGGGAATAGGCATAAATTCTCAGACCTCGACTGCATATGGTATTTCTGTTACAAAAAACAAATCTACATTTTAAACAGAACTAAACTACAAAAAACAATATAAAATAAGTTCAGTGGTAATGAGAAAAATTTGAATCATTCTGTTCCATAATTCAAGCAGCAATTTAATGCCATACATTTCCAAAGGGAACTCACCTGTCCTTTGAAACTGTTTAGAAAAGAAGGTCATGCTGCTTATAAGAACTGTGTTTTAGCACAAAATATCATCCATAATTTATGGCATAACAGGATCATGATACATTTTTTGCCAATGGCCACTGTTCGCTCTTGGTTAGTGCAGAAGATCTTTTTTGACTAAATTCATTTAAAGTATTTGTTGTCTCTTCGGAATTAAATTCCCAGTTCTATGGTTTGGGTTCTTTAATTTTCAGACTAAGGCAAGAAAAATTCTTGTGTGAATGCACAAAGTGCCATTCATAACGAAAGATGCAATTTTGTGGTCAAGATATGCCTTGTTGTTATGGAGACACTCTTGGGTGTTGCAATTGAAAAAGAAACACAACAGATGTTGATTCATGCCAAATCCCATTATATTTAAATGGATTTGGTTTTTGAACATAGTATGAACAATTCTGCGAATGAATAAATGAAAGGATAAACTAATGAATGAACACATGAATAAATAAATAAATAGATAAATAAATAAATAAATAAATGGCTGAATAAATAAATAAATGAATGGACGAACGAACGAAAGAATGAACGAATGAATGAATGAATGAAGGAAGGTAGGAAAATCTGAAGTTTTTTACTAACACAAAACCTCTTATTGAAGAAACAAGGAAGCAAAATCACTTGATTACATCAAAGCACGTTGACATCTAACTGAAGATAAAACATTACCAAGCAGAAAAATGCCTTAAATATTTCCTAATTTGCAAGCAAAGATGATAAAAAAGAACAGTAAGGCAACTTTCGAAAAAGAAATGTGCGAAAAAGGTTTGGGAGAACATCAAATGTTTTTCAGCATAAGCATTTAAGAAAATGTTTTGCTGTTATAATCTTTGTATAGAAAAAGATCTTACCACGTGCAATTTCAGCTAAAGAAGACAGGCTATGGTTAGATGCTTTAAGTCCAGAATCTATGGAAGATATATCAAAAGATTTTGATTGAATCTTTTTGAAGAAATTTGGCAAACATTTGCATTTGATCGCATGTAGCAGAAATACTGTTTTGATTAAACTAATGCCTCTCTTTCTTTGTAGCAAATACATGTCGAGTTATGAACCTGCAAGACCCGAGCAAGAAGATGAGCAAGTCAGAAACGAACAATCGAGGCCGAATTGACCTGACAGACACGCAAGAAGAAATAAATAATAAAATTAAAAAAGCAGTCACTGATTCTATTCTTCATTTGACATATGAGCCAAAAGAAAGAGCTGGCATTGCGAATTTGATAAGTATATTCTCGTCAATAACAGGAGATTCCCCAGACAAAATTGTTCAGAAATATTCAGATAAACAACCTTTTACAAAATACTTAAAATCTGATCTAGCCGACTACTTAACGGAAGATTTAGAGAGTTTTCGAAAAGAATTCCAAAGACTAGGAAACGATCGTGGATATGTTCGCAGCGTCCTTGATGATGGATGGAAAAGAGCGAGATCTATAGCGACAGAAAATATAAAAGATATTAAAGAATGTCTTGGTTTAAACATCAAGTAAAAGCTGATGTGTCACTTACATTGTATTCCTTTTAGGTATTTATTCCCTTTTAAGGTATTCAAATCTCTCTTTACTGCATCCTCATCTTGTCTTCTCGTCGTAACTGCATACGTCACCGCAAGTAGCAAGATCTTTTACCGCTTATCTAAAAGGTTTGGGGATATTTAGAGCCGAAAAATGAGCTCAAAAAATCGGTTTCAACAAAATGCTAAGTGAAAAGTTTGTTGACAATATAGCTTCCATTTTGATCAGCAGCGGTTTTAGGGACTGCGGGGCCCGGGGCCAAAAACACCTGCTGGGTCCTTGTTCTTTATAATTTCTATCTTTTTTATTAGATGTAGGGCCCCTTCTGGCTACCATAAGCGCGGAGCCTTGGGCCATGGCCCCCCTAGACCCCCCTTAAAACCGCCACTGATTTTGATTATCGCCTTTTTATGACCATTCTGGTTTCCTGGTAGTCGCATGAAACGTGAAACTGAAACCATTAATCTGATTCCTGTTCTCAATACATAAACGGAGCACAATTTTTTCCCCTTAATCTTAATAACCCTAATAAAAATCCGATTCGCATAAACTGATGACTGTGCTGAGGAGCCTTTAGAACAATCTCTTTGCTTATGGTCTATTGATTCTGTGAATACAAAAAACAAAGTAGTGTGAAAATCGAAAACACTAAATGATCATCAAGTATAACTTTCAGACTGGTTTTGTTGAATTATAAAAGAGGAAGATACATAGAAGAAAGAAAATGTATACTCATTGAAGAGATGCTTTGACAATTTTACATGTCATCTGAAAATCAAATGGCATGCCTCATGCCTCTGCTTTTATATATGGCCCAGGGTGGCATACATTTTGAATGCAGGTGTTCCCGACTGCTCATTTATCCACAATTCAACTTTTCAAAATCGCTGGGTTTTTGATGCTGTTCTTATAACGACGAAAAGTTGAAAATTTTGCAACAGAACTTACGGTTAAAAAGTCACCCACGAAAGACTTAAGCAATTAAATTTATCTACCTGTCAAACGTAAAATTGCCAATGAATTATACCAAAAATAGAAATAACTGCCTCAAATATATTCAGTGCTATCTTATCAACGGTGAAATAAAATTCCTATCAAAAGCAATGGTGGCTGCAGCTACTGCAGAGTGGGAGGGCATTGGGCATGGTCACTGAGACCATACCTCTTTTGCCTCGTTTCAGTGCTTTGCTACCTAGCGCTTTTTAATCAATTTCAAGAAGAAACAAGTGGACCATGTTTTGACAAAAGTGGGGGGTGGTAATTACCCTCCACCCACCCTTGGCTCCGACACTGGTCAAAGCATTCCCAATACCTCATAAAATATTGGTAAAAATTGTTGTATCTTATAAAATATGGCAGGTTTTTCTATGCTTGTTATCCATAGAATCAAAACATATTTTTTTATGGTGTTTCGCGATCGTTCGCAAAAATGAGATATGACGAAACTATAGAGAGGCCATTTGTGGACGGCGACAAAGAGGCATTAAATATGAAAAATTTCAAAAAATGTCTGCTCAACTGCTCAATATGTTGCTTCTTATCACAGTACCTGTGGTCTTCACTGACGTACTTTCTGAATCAATAGTTTCTGACAATAGAAAACGATCGATTTAGGCTGGTCCGATGTTCGTTAGAGTCAGTTTTTGAGGTAGGATTAGCCTCAGTTTGTGTGAATAGATCCATCTCAACCAAAAAAAGAAATGAAAATATCACTATATTCGTATTGTAAAGGCGTTAAAGTTCAACAGTTGATGCTGAAACGTCAGTATTCTTTTTTATTGAAACTGCAGGATTATGACTTATACAGAGACAGTCAAATTCCATTTGCATGATTCAGATACATGTTTTTAACGCGTCAAATTTGATAATCTCTTTTGTCAAAATAACCACTGAGATGTCTTGCCTTTTTAAAATACTGATTGCCAAGGAACAAAAAATGAGCCATGGGAAGTATTTTCTAAAAATTGCATTTGAATTGCATTGCAAAAACTGCTTATAAAAATATTCGATGAAAGGTCTTCCTTAATTTTATGTGTTTGGATTATTACAGCTTGTTTGTAGATCAGTGCCATGAAGTAAAAGCCTGCGTATAAGAAACTGGATTTTAAGAGCCTGTTAGGCTAAAATTTTTTAATTTAGGCCTCCTCTACATAATAACCATTTCAGTTCTTACCAGAGGAGCTGCTGTAAAGGTTTCTAGGTGGAAACTGTTGAATAAGGTATTATCATCTGGTTATATCTAAAATTAACTTGGCAAAACAATTTTCATTGAATCCAAAGTACAATTCTGTTTTTATTGTTTCCATCATTCTAATAAATTCTCTTAACATTCACCATTTGCAAAGTAAAATATTTTAATTTTCGTTTATTCCAAGTTTTCCACAAATAAATCTTGCCTTGTAAATCACATTTCAGGAATTTTTCTGTGTTTGTTTGCGCATATATTTGTTTTGTTAAGTCTGTATTGTTTTTACCGTATAATATTTTGCTACATAAATATAAGAAACTATTTGAACATACTGTATATTAGGACCTATAATACACCAATCAGACTTACGGCCTCATTTTGAAAAATTCTTCAAATTCTTTTGTACACAATTTTGACCTCAGATTCGGATTGAGAGCAATGACTTTAGTGTACTTTGAAGTTTTCACTATGGTATGGCTCACGATATTGATTTTATGACGACATAAAGATAAACATTTTATTAGGGATTTGACCGTGATTGGCGACTAAGGGGGTAAAGTTTCATCCTGAATGATTTTTGCGGTCAAATCCCTTACAAGTTTTCAAACTTCATTTCTCCGTAAAATCTAAAATTCAAGCAGAAACAATATGGAAAATTGTATCCGACCGATAACTATGTCGATAAAACCAAATCTGAGCTTGAAAAAGTCGTATAATGAAGTTTCAAAAAATTTCCAAAACGAGGCCGTTTGTCGAATTGGTGTATGCGCGGGTTTTACTGTGCTTATCATAACGATAAATTTGCAAGCAATCAAAAATGTTTTGATACTGTCAGTGAAAAGCAACATGACCATTAGTGGCAGAGGATGGGCGTTCAAAAACAGCGAGAATCACCAAGAGTAGGCGAAGGCGAGCAAAATGAATTTCACCAAATCAAAACTACGTCGCGTCTTCCTATTTTTGCATTCCGGCCCGGAGTTCCCAGCCGGAACAGATGGCATTTATACATTTATCGTGTGACACGACATTAATATCTCGCCTATGGTTAACAAAATCTCCCAAATATTACATTTCGATAGGCCCTCACGCCTACATATTGACCCCAACACCTTTACAACAATACGCAGGCAAATGATGGTAAAAGAAACTTATTTTTAGCTTAAAGTCGACCAAAGGAGCCGTCGAGAAATTTATACTTTGAACAGTATTTATCCCTAGTCAAAGAGACATTTCAATAGAGTAACTGAGTAATGAAAATTTTTTCCTTAGAAATTTAATCGAATAATTTAAAGAATATTTATTGTTCAACCTTAAACCCTGGAAAAACACCATGAAATACCATTAAAATCAAGTAAATCCATTGCAATATAGCCTGCGTGCAGACTCTGTTGAAAAAATTGAAAATAGGAGAAAAGGTAGAGTCTGCGAAGCCGAGCCGATTTTCTTGTTCACAGGTTCCTCAAAACCAAGGAACCGAATTTGATTGGTTGGGGGAATTTCAATTGCTTTTTTCAGTTTTCAAAGTGGCGCCTACGAACTGAAGTATAAATGTTTGACATCAGGCTAATAGAATAGTTCTGTTTGTTCTTTTGAACAACTAAAATTACAGAAAAACACTGCACGCTAATGAGTCGCTGTTCTATTGCTTAGAATAAAATGTTGATGTCAGCGAACAAGAAAAGCGGCTCTGTTGCGGAGACTCTACTTTCTCTCCTCTTTTAAATTTCCGAGTCTGCACGCAGGCTATTGCAAATTGGTTTAGATATGGCCAGTCTAAAGACATTTGTTGTTTTGGCCTAGATAATAAATTTTTGAACTAAGATCAAATCGCCGCGATGAGTTAGGGAAAGACCCTCTGCTTGTGTGTTTAATTCATAACAGATTGAGCTGCTTTTGCAAATTCAGAGGCATACCATTCTTTGAGAATATATCCAATTTTAAAAATCCTAACAATAAATTTTTATGGTCTTATCATCTGGCCATGTTATTGAGCAAACCATTTCTTCAAAGGTGTGCTAATAGATTCAAATTGATTTAGTTGAAAACCAAATTAGACTTTGAATACATTTTCCCCCTGTGCACAATATGCAATTCATTATGACGTCTTTTGTCAAAGATCACACAGAAATATTTAATTATCCGATGCTTTTCAAAAAGATAAAATAATCTTTCTTCGAAAATTTTTGCCAAAAGAGAAAAGAGCTACCCAAATTTGAAAAGCAACTCGAAAATTTCGTTTATTAAAAATCTTTCACAATATCTGCGTTAAAAACGAAAATGGGGATCTGTAACAGTTGTTACAACGTTTAGAATGAATGAACGACACACTACGTCACTCGCCTTAGTCCACTAACAACAGAGACGTCAAAACCACGGACTTGACCAAGATATTTTCATGGAAAAGTTTTATCCTATCATTTCGTGGGGCCGTTGGTATTAGCAGCCTCATTAATAATGTTGGTAGAATGTTTGCACTACAATGAAAATAAAATAATAATTTAACCAAGAAATTTATCGCAGTATATGATCAAATGCCTTGGAAGAATAATGAATCTGTTTGAAATGCGCGCTAGATATGGCTTTGTAATGTTGATTGCAGTTATGTTGCAATTATCGACACGACACAACTCATTTTTCTACATTCTTTGACGTTAAGAATAAAGCCGGACAGTTTATTCTAAATGACGTCTATCTCTACGGCAACCAGTGACTTAGCTTGCCCTTCCAGAGTTGGGGCGTGGAGGGTTATCAATAGTCAAATTTACCGACGAAGACATACATGAAGAAAAATAAGGGTTGTGACAAAACATGGCCTCCGCCATTGGCTTAGCGTTGGCCTATCTGTTGGCATAGAAATGGTGTACATTTGGAGTAGCAATGGTTTAACACAGATCAATTTGGCGTACTAATGACTTAGGCTTGGTGTACCTCTGCACTACAACCAAAAAATAAAGAACGAAAAATTGCATTAGCTTTGCTGTTGTTTAAGCATATAGCAATGTAATAAATGCCAGCACCTTCACAATCCTCATCATGTAAAGGACTTGGTGACGTGACAGTCACTGACGAGGCGAATGGGTTTGGATTTGACTTAGGAGCACCAGTCCAAATATGAGAGCAGTACTCCAGAGAGTGGCGGATTTGGGACTTATTAATTGTTAAGAGTTGTGATGGTGCCCTAGAGAGGAACCCAAACTTTTGAGAGGAGTGTTTAGCAATAGAAAAAATTTGAGATTTTCAATTTTGTTTAGAAGATACAGAAAGGCCTGCAACAAAATTTGTAAACAACAAGCAAAATTGTCTAAATCAGTACCATTCATGGAAACGGAAGGAAATTTGGGATTGTGTTTGTGTGAAATGACAACCTGTATGGTTTTAGTAAGGATGAAAAGAAGAAGAGATCTAACAGAACCTTGTGGAACACCAGCATTAATTGAGTTGGGACTCAAGAGAAGTACTTTCTTTTCAATCCTTGAAGCGGCGGTTTTTGTTTTGTTTTGTTTTGTAACATTGTAGGTTTAACCACTTTTGAGTGGATGATAAAAGAAACAGAAGCAGATGGGCCTTTACTCTAGATTAGAAGAACCTGAAGACGAATAGAAGGTGCGAAATTTGTTGGGGAGACGAACAAGAGAAAGTCATTTAAATGAGCGAGGCAACCATCCGTCCTGCATTCGAAGAGTATGCGCATGAGACAAAATCATTAATATGCGCACACTTTGAATACAGGACGGTGGGTTGACTCAGGCATTTTTCACACAGACTACCAACCCAGATCTAGGAGTCTCATTACAGAACACAACCTCAAATTCAAATTCGCAGGATGATTGCAATATTAAAAAAAGTACTTTGTTCTGTTGAATCTTGGAAATACAAGTAAAAAGCGTTTTGCTTTTAAAAAATAATTCACCCCATCTGCCATTATAAAGAAGCTAGGCCAAGTGAGCTCAAGACACAAAAAAGTTTCAGACTTAAAGAGCAATAAAAAATTTGGATAGTTTGATCCCTTGAAATCCGAAATCTCATGCACAACGCGTATTTGGAATCATGGAATGCAAAGTCCAGTCGTTACAAATGCGCCTTCTTAGGACTGTTTGCATAAACACCTGTTCTTCCTATCAGAATGCATTATTATCAAACCCAGGAGCGCAAATATGCAAATTAATTAGGAATGTATAAGCGAGTTTCATTGTAGAGACATATATTCAACTTATAAAACTGTAAATGTTTTCGAGAATGCTTTGCAATAAAGCTTTTCTCTGCAAAGCGTTTACAAAAAACGTAACAGTTTTAATTATCAATAGTGTAAAGTAATTATGACATGTTTCCAGTTCGCAGGCGTGTAAACGACAGCTGATAATAAAAAATCATGCCAACACTCGTGCTTAAATCTGTTGTTTCAGCTATATATAGGGGAATGCTTTTAAAGTTGCAAACTAACATGTGGTTGTTATAAATAAATTTGCTGCAAATATGTGCATTGCTGCGACAGCCTAAATTAAAGCAGGTAAAGTAAATCAACGAGGAAATTCTTGCAAACGGGTTTCCGAACAAAACCTTTGTTGATAGTTTTTATATTTGAAAATATAGTGACACTGCAAATGAAATCCAACAGAGGTTTGTAGAATGATAAAGATGACGTAATTCCTTGCCATGGAAAAATCAACACGAAGCCTAGGAAGGCACTTCTAAACCCACGTAAAGCATTCAAATTAAAATTTCGAACCAAACTAAGATCATCATGTGTTTGTCAACGATAAACAACGCTTGTTTGCTGATATTCACGGATACCAGCAAATCCGTACCGAAATCAGTTCTAAATAAACACAACCTACCAAAAAAGACCCTTGGTTTTTCTTTGTTTAAAATTGCTTTCATGCTACCGCAGACTGGATTTAAAAGCCACAATAAATCTAAGCTTGTGCAGGGTCTTGAAAATCTTCGACTAGCGGTACTAAAGGTGTGACGGTACTTGTAATATTTTGCACAAAATGAACAGATATCGAGACTCTGGATATATTTGAGTTACTTCGACCTTGTTAATTGGATATTTCCTTGGAGAAAGATTAAAAATATAAACTTAACTCAACGGTACTAAAATTAAACGATAATGATGAAGTTATATTAACAATCAAAATAAAGAGATCAGTTATAGGTTTTATGTTTTCTTCTCCATTAAAAAGCCTGCATCCTGTCATTTGCTATACTTCTTATACATTACTTTGCAGTGAGAGGCTGTGCTGACACGTGACCGATTCAAACAAAAATAAATAAGGAAGAAAAACAAATAAATATTTTCAAAATAATAACTTACAATTTTTACGGCTGTTTGGCCTATGCCGGGCTTGCTCACTTAAACCTGTTATCAACAAATCAACCTGCTGTAGACATAAATACGTTATAAAATTGAAAATTGTATGAAAGCTACGTTTAAATTCCGAAAATTGTTTTGGATTTCAGCTATTTAAATCCTGTATAGAGAGTCTTGTCATAGCATTTAAATACTATACGAGAAACGATTTTATAAACCCGTAAAAAAAGAAAGAGATTGTCTTGATAGTGGCAGTAGAAGCCCATTGTGTACCTGCTGTTGCTGCGCGGAAAGGTATTCTACTGCAAAAAGAATGAGATTCTATGTGGAATGTACAAAGGGGGAAAGAAGAACACTTTAGATTTTATCAAATCAACTTTTGCAAGATGCCTTCAAAACTGTTCATATCCACAAATGTAACACAGAAAACAACCAAATTACACCCACAGAATTATTAGTTTTGCGAAAACCGAAAAGATTTAATTGAAAAAACATTGAAGTTAGGATTCCATAAATCTCCCGGTAAACAAGGTATCGTGCGATGTGACTAGAAGAGGCACGTCAACATTGGCATTCATAGCTCCGACACGAAAATAAACAACTAAAGGTCTAAATCCCATCGGTTTTTTCAAAGTCTTCGTCGCTGGCAGCACCTGAACTTTCGTCACTTCTTTGGCTTTCACTGAACTCTTTATTTACATCAAGTTTCTGTAAAAACTGCCGGACTTTATCAAAAGTTTCTTCCGAATCCTTTATATTTTGCAATCGGTTGGACGAGTTTGATAAACTGGAGACCAGAGAGCTGATTGAATGTCGTGGAGATAACGATGGAGTTTGCAGTTGCGAAATTGTCCCAACATTTTCCGAGCGACGTCTCCCCTGGCGGTAGCGCAGTTTTGTCGTGGTATCCCTCTGATCTCCCTCGCAAGGCCTCATTGCTATGAGACACTGGCTACCACCTAAAGAAGGTAAAGAGAACTTCTCCATATCAGGCAAGCTTCTACGCCTCGGTTGCTTCTGGTCCGGCAGCTCAAGCCGCTGCATATTCAAGCTAGACTTCGACATATCATCATTTCTTGCTTCTTCAACTCTGCACCTGAGCGGACTGCTTGCGCGTCGATTGAAATTAGCTCTCGGTTTTGACGTTTGATTTAGAGACATTCTCCGACTGCTGTTCAGTTCTTGCCGAATTGCTTTCTCTTCTCGAGCGAGTTCCTTCCTGTAAATGCTACTTTCTGCGTCCAAACTCGAGATTTTAATCTTCAACTGTCGGTCGATCATTGCGTTCATCGCAAGCGTTTTGTCAGTATACTCTCCTCTTAACCTTGGAGTGGCCATTTAATCGCGATAACGGAGTTAAGATCTATAATCTATTCGAAATCAAGGCCTCCTTCACGAAAACCTGTTGTCTGCAAACAATGAGTTCAGCGGTGGCAATTTCGCTTTTATTCTTCCACACCTATCTTATTGTTTCCGTTGAGAAACCCTGTGACAAGCCTCTGGGATATGACAGGTGCATCGGCATACGTACTAGCAAAAATTCTCAGTTTTCGATGTGATGTATTAAGCACTTTCCGAGAAACCCCGATAACTCTAACAGATTCCAAACGCCATCTTAGTATTCAAGGTCATCAGTTGCTACTGAGATCCATCGTGGATGAAGGATTGTTAGTCGATCGGCCCCTTTTGCTTCTCTTCAGTTGATTAATATAATAACAAGAGAACAACCTCTGTGTGCTCAAAACCAGTTCTATTTTTGGCCGCAATGCCTTCTGCTTGCTGTAATGGTTACTTCACAGAACAGATGACATTAATTGTAAAGGCTGTTCGATATTACCTGAAGAAAAATGGTGCATCAATTTCGAGATACGCTTTCCTGAGATAGTTCAGTAAATAAAAAGCCATTTCAAAATACTTTTTCCCAAGATAGTAAGGTAAATAACAATACACCATATATTGACATGTGACCCTGTTCTCAAAGTCACATTAAAAATTAATTGCGATTCAGGCATTTCTCTGTCCACGATAACTGCAATTTACGTGACTTCCAAACCTTGTTATCATAAACTATGCATAAACAAACCTCGACCGTCATAGTATGTTAAATTTCATGTCTTCAGCTCTTGAGATAATTACGATTGCTGTGCCAATTATTTTCATTCCTCTTTCCTTGTCGTCACTGCACCTGGTCGCCGATGAATGAAGCAAGTTCAAGCCCATTCATTTAGCAATCAAAGGGCCGGTCCATTCTTGGGGTATTTCACTCTTGTAAATAGCGTACGCGATTTCAACGAAAACAAAAAGATTTCCAGGAATTTTCATATAAAATAGAGGTTTTCAGAGATTGCCATGGAGTAATTTCCCGGTGGGGTCCATTTTCATCGCCATAGGATCGCTAGCAAAACAAAAGGGTCCCTTAACCCCCATTCCCCCTTGAAATATATTGTTTTGGAAGCACCAAACAATAATTAGGCAATCACTGCAAGGGTGCCAGCAATGAAACCCCAAATTAACAAATAAAATGAAATCTAAGAGGACCAGAAAAGTAATTCGATATACCAAGGGTTCTTGGAACAAAGCCTATTGTAAGTATTAGAAATATTGTCAGCTCTTAGCTCGTTAATAACGAAGCATGATGTATTACAAAAATAAAGAACAATAACAACACAAAAATTCAATATTCCTATCGCCTTTCAGAACTTTTCACCAACACCATATTCTTGTAAAAATAACTATTATCTGTCGATACTCACGACCCCGCTCTCTTTATCGCTTGTCTTCACACATCTTGTTAGATCTAATGTTTTCTCGCTCGTTCCAGACCTTAAGATTCGAACTTTCACGAAGCATATATTGGAAGCTCGTTAAATTCTGCCATTCATGACTGGTATTCAACATTTTCACTTTCAGTTTATCACTCTATCACTAAACTTATTCAAAAAGAGTGCAAAATCTATTTGATTGATTATTATCTACCTCTTCACCTTATTCTAATAGGTGATAATCTTATCTTTCCAAAATATTTCACATTTTCCTTCCATAATCTAGGTCATATTCTCTCGTCTCTGGCATAGCCTTGATTGCTCTGAACAGCAGATTGTGAATATCTGTGTAGTTTGAAGAGCACGTTCGCAGAGAAAAACTTGTCCGAGGACTTCAAATTTCTTTAAATGAATGCCTGGTATATCCACTGCTCTTTGAAATGCCATCCTTCGCGGAAAACAGCTACGCTTTTAACCTTCAGTACGATTTGATGATTGTGTTACGCACTCCATAAATCAACTTAGTCGGTCTAAATGGCATGAACAATCTCTGTCTTGCGATAAAATCCCTGTTCTCAACTGGAAAGCTTACGCAGCACATCAGCATTCTAGTAAAGTATATATCCCCTGGTAAGAAACTACCAACCTATTTAAAAAACTTCCCACCCACTTCCTGTTCTGGTTCGCCTTAAGTTAAAAAAATTCAACTCAAGATACTTCAGAGGAGAAAGGTTTGTGTTGATGCTCTTTTGCATTCCAAATGTGGAGAATTCTATAATAAATCTAAAGTATTGGCTTATGATGTGCTGACATTGATTCAAACATCAGGACTGGACAGGGAAGGTAGAATATAAAATCCTGTTTATTTGTAGCACCTACATGATATACCACCGGCAGGTTATGCAGAAAGCATTTAGAATCTGAGCATTCAGAACAATCGGATTCGTTTTTGTGCATTCTAGCATTTTCAAATGTCATTTACTTTTTATTTATCTGTACTTGATTTTTAAGGTTTCGTGGTTTCAAAATCAAAATTTTCAGGTTTTTGAACATGGTGTTTCCTCGTATGACAGGAGAGAATATGTTTAAAAAATAAAAATAATAATAATAATATCCTGTTTTCGACGTTCAATTGAGATGTTGATTCATTAACACTAAAAATTACCATCATTTTGTAAAAAATTGGCAGAAAATTTGTACGCAAAATCGAATTTACAAAACGGCTTTAAAAAACACAGATGAAATCTATTCCGCGACAGGTGACATGCAGATTGGTTGTTTAAAACATTTAAAGCCAGAAAAAAACCAGCGCTAAAAGCAAGTGGGTGGCATGAATAATTGATAACGTGAAATAAAATACAAACAAGGAAATATAGATAACGACCGTTATTTTGAAGTTAATTGGGAAGATTTTTGACAATTTGGCTGCCAATTCATGCCATTGCTTATGGGAGAATAGGATCCAGTAGCAATTTATCAGAATTGCATTAAAAATTAGCAGTTGTGCCTACATGCAGAAAGAAATCGAGAGACTCGACTTAACCTGGCTTTTCGGATACCGTTTTAGAAAAATTTCGTTGTTAACTAAACAATAAAGAAAACATTTTCACACTTGATTATTTGAGGCCAAACAAGAAATGACAAAACTTCAAAAATTCTTTGTAGTTAGATGTTCGATTATTACTGAAATCAATGAACGACAAGGTACGATACTAATATGAATTAGTCGTTTTCATTTTGCAAACAAAACCGATTTCCAAGCATCCACAAAATAAGCAGATGAATTTAGAGCCAGTTACCGTAGCAGGCGTAAAAGGAGACTAACCTGGAGTACCTTTAAAAAGCGTAACGAAAAATATCATATATGGGTGTTGAAGAAAGGACCATCTTCAACTGATAACAGACCTCTACAAAACGCAGGGAATAGTAAGGTATTATTGCAAGAATATTTCGCGTTACTGTCTAGAAATTACTATTTCATTGTACTGTGTTATAGTACTTCTGCCAATAAAATATCATCTCGTGCTCTGGGTTCTTCCGTCGAGTCAGCCATTTATACACGAGAACATTACGGTATATTTATAATGGTCCTTTTCACACAAAACAAAGCTTCCCTTGACTCACGTGAAAGAGCAGCTGATAGTTATTGAATCTTCGTAGGAACCAGAAAACTGAAAGTACGTCAAGATAAATCGATAGCCAGTGTAGATTACATCAAATGAAGGGAAATAAAATATCCGGCATCAAGCTATATTTTGAAATGAGTGCTTTTAAGCCAGCCAAGGTGAAAATGGTAAATTAGCAGATCTGTGCCAAAACAAAACAGATCTGTGCCAATTTTACCCTAGTGAGCGATATTTCAAGTGATCGTAACTGTAATTGTAGTAAAGAAATCAAAAACATCGAAAATTGCAAAAATTTAGACAAAGAGCTCGAGAAAATCAAGGGACTTAGAATATTTGCTACTATAAAAATCAGCTGGTTGTTATGTTGTCAGTTTCTGAAAAAATCATTTTCTGCAAGAATTAGCGGAAACAGAGCAAGACCACGCGCAAATAATCCCCGCAAGCTAGCGTGACTGCTGCGAATCTAAACAGTGACGTATCAAAAAACCAATAGCGGATTATCTTTTCAAAGAAATAAATGAAATTCAGTGAAAAGATGAAAAGACTGAATAAGAAGCTCCCTCGACTTTAAAAGTATTTTACATAAGAATAATGTCAATGCTACTTGATATACGTGAGTAAATATATACTAAAACCAAAAAGATCCTTATATCAAAGGCAAGAAACATAAATCAAAAAACGTCTCGTCGCTCTCTCCGGGTTGAAATAGCAATATCTAAAAAGTCACCAATCTGGAACTTCTTGTTGGCTAATGTGACAGTGTCATCAGCTGATTTGATGCCTGCGCAAGTCGTTCCTATCTCCTTCATAATGAAATTGTTTCGCCGAGCATCGGGAAAAACAGTTGCAAAATCGAAAAATGTACCTTTCTTGCGTGCCTTTGGGTTAACTTCTTTGACAAGATTCATCAATTCTTTCAATGTTGCATCTTTCCTATTAAAAAGAATAACGATACTTCAAAAAAATCCGAAGGCCAGAATTGGCGCAATATGGGGAAACTAGACCCATCTCCACATCTGCCCACTTGATTCTTCTATACATCGCTAAAATCTATTGGATAAGGGTAGATCATATCGTCTGGATGCTAAATTATCAGATCAAAGCATGTTTAGAAGAGCGTTCGATCAAAGCATGTTTAGAAGGGCGTTCCCTTGATGTTACATCAAAAGCGGCTTTCTATAAAATATAGAGACATTAACTAACACTACCATAAACAATACTAGAGTAGATGGCGTTTTCAGCCACGTTTATTCTTTTTAGTTTGTTTCGGTTTCATGTGCAGCAAATTAAAACATTGCTAAAAATAATTTTCCTTCAAGAAACCTGCAAGAAAGCGGGAATCAAATGAGCATATGGTATCTATTTTTTAGCAAAAAGTGCACGTTTTTATCATTTATAAATTGCTATCTTCTATGCATGGAATTTGCAGCTTTTCCCATTGCACCTTGAGTCAGCAGTTTATTCACTGCATATTTCTCTGTCTGCTATATAAGAATCTTTATTCATGTGACAGATACTTCCAGCGACAACCCACAAAAGGTAAGAGAGCAAAGTGCCTTTTTAGATCACATTTGGGTGAGTCTAAGCAATATACCTTTTCCTTCAATAGCTCTATTGAAATTCGTATCATTAAAAAATAAACAAATAAGACATATCGCTGCCCTGGGAACTGAAAATCGTCAGTATTATTTGGGAAAATTCACACAGAAAAACGGACATTGTTTACTTGATCTACATTTAAGTATGTGCACATCTATAGCGGCATTCATATCCACATGCATTTATCTTACCAAGTGTATATCTGCAACTCATTTCTTGGTACACCATTTCTTGAATACTCGTCAAGTCTATGAAGAAGAAAAACAAAATATTTAAAAATATTCAACAAATTCATCACACAAAGAATGAATTATAAAGATAACTGAGGTGACAACTTTGTTTAAGAAAAAAGGGAAAGAGGCATTTTTTTATCTATTAAGTGTGGAAACTTTTGTGACTTTCAGCTACTGAAAGTCTAAATTTCAACGTCTTTTAACACTGAAGTCTAAATGGTTACTGAAGCTAATTCTGATACATATAATGAAAACCTTACAGCCATATCCATTGTACAATCTATTAACATCAATACTTTTTATCTTGATAATACCATACACGTAAACATACAGAGAAAATTGTCGTACAAAAATTATATCTTACCTATTATGTCTGCCATCATTGTAAAACACCCTTAGTAATAGTGGACAGGTCTAGAACGAAAGATGTAAAGCTTTAAAAATGGCAAAACAGGTTAACCATACTCCAAAATTACTTGAGTTGATACAAAATGTTAGTTTAAAAAATTCCTTGAAAGTTGAAATCCAGCGAAATTTCTGTTGGGCCTTTTTGGCTGTCATTTCAATCTATCACAAACAATTTTCATCAGTAGAGCAAGTAAAAACAAAAAGTCATTCTAATATCAATCAATTGTTAATTTGCTGATTATAACTTGCTGGAATGGAATGGAAATCTTGATAGGATGGCATCTATAGCATTTACAAAAGATCAGTTTTTCTCAATATTTTCTGTGAAATTAAAGAAGATAACAAGGACAACTACAAAGAGTAGTTCTTTTTTGTCTTGATTTTCTTGTCTCGATTTTCTATTTCAACATAATCAATGCAATTTTCAGTGAAACAAAATCAGTTAGTCATAATCAGGAGTGAGACATTCCAGGTGTTACAAAATCATTTCTAGAAGTAATCAGTAGACAGAAATGAATCAATACATTTCAACTCTAGCTAGAATCATCTGCAGTAAAGTAAAAAAAGAGCAACAATAAACTTTAAGCATGAAAGGATAAAACAATACAGATCTGTAAATTCTGTGATATGTAGAAACGTCTTGCAATTTCAACATTATGTTGTCTTATTGAATTGCATATGCAAAATATGTCTTGCGCATAGAGAAATCTTCAAAACATCACAGCCTGAAACCCTTTGTGTGAACTCAGCCTATCTATATGAAATTTTGTACAAGGGAATGTTTTTGAAGATATTTTTTGGATCGGACAAGGGAAGAGGTGCAGTTAAAAAGGATTTTAAAACTTGTTGTGAGTAAGAAAAAACCTCTCTGGCAAAATCAGGTAAAAGGACCTGCAGTGCTGCAAGTCATGTGGACGACATGAAGGCAAATCAGTAAATATGGCAGATGCCCCCTCAATCAAACATATAAAAGTTTGTTAGACAGAGTGTGGTATTTTTATAGGGAAAAAGTGTCAGGCTTTTAATGGATGTAATTCCCATAAATCAAAATTTGTGCAGATTCAGCATACTTCAACAAAAATTTGGTATATGGGTTATTATATGAAATTCTTTACAGTTGAGAGACTACACAAATTTTCCAAACTGTTTGAAGCACTCCATTTAACCCCCGTGGAATCCATGTCTCAGAGGGCAATTCATTTTTCTCCATGATTTAAATTTGGCCCCGATCTGAAAGAATTTTCTTGCACACATGCGTAGTTCAAGTCGACCTGAAATTTCAGACTGACCTGAGCAACTGAAACAAATTCAGGTCAACCTGTTTTTCACTTTGCCTTCTCTCGTGTGAGCACTTCAAGGGCTCAGACCACAGCTGAAATGAATTTGAGGTCTATCTGAGTGGACTGTATTTAGTCTGGGTAAAGAAAGATGGGATTGCTGCCTGGGCTTGGGATAAACAACTGTTATTGGTGAAACTGATGATGAAATAAGGCCTTGCCCAGAAAGGAGCTTGATCAAGCGGAAGCACCTAAAGCAGACCCAAAAAAAGCCGACAAATAATACAGAGAGCGATTTAATGAGTACCTGAAAATGTAAAACATATATATTGCCCAGGAGCAAAATATTGCTTGAAACTGATTTTGATAAAACTTAAACAATCTTCTTAATTAACAGAATATTTTGGCATATAAGATTTATAAAAGAGCTTATACCACTAATCTTTTGATGGTTAGATTTTGTGTCCAGTTCCTTTTAAGATCATGTCTGAAAGGATAACTTTTTGGATCAAAACAGTAATTTCTATGCATAGCCAAACAAACATATAAAAACAATTTGAGAGTTAAATCATTTAAAAACGCAATGATATTTCAATATGCATTGCTTCCGTTTCAAGGAACAACATTTCACACATTTTCATGAAGAAAAGACACAAATTTTTGCAAATTGCAATTTTATATAGAAGCGTGAAATAGTGTCCTTGAGTTTCTTAGGAGCTCGTTTTATGGAGCACCATCATTTCGCTTAGTGCAAGGCCTGGTAAATAGTTTTGGTTGATGCAAAGCATCTAAAATCTTTTTTGGTGTTAACAAGAAGATGAAGAGCCTTCCGTGCAGAATTATAATTTATTGGCCAAAAACCCAGCGACCAGACTACAAAGTCTTTTTTATGTGTGTGTGGCAAATTATGGCGCTAAAGCTTGCAGAGGAACAAATAATTTTGGAAAATAGCAGGTTAAAATTTTGTGGGATTTTCTTTTTAAATAGCGTTTGCAAGACTTGTGGTGAGGCTGTGTACTGGATTCACACAAAAATTAATGCTGAAACAGTACAGATTGATTTGAACTTGAAAAAATGTGTTGACAGGATTTGAGGAAAAAATTATTTGTGAGGAGTAAGCTCTGCAGAGGAGTAAGTGGGGATAAAGAAGCAAGAAAGTTGTAGGATTTCTTGGGCAATTAAACAACTTTCTCTGACAGGCTTGACTCATCCAGCACTGTTTTCAGTCCGGACAGCAGAGTATGGCAGTTTCCAACAAGAATTCGGGTGTGCACGAGCAAAATTGGAGAGGCAGAGGAGTAAGTGAAGATAAAGAAGCAAAAAAGTTGTAAGATTTCTTGGGCAATTAAACAACTTTCTCCCTATCCTTCTATCAAGATCTTACTTTGAAATGCCAAGACTTCACTTCAAACTTTGCCAGAAACGGATGCGGCGAGTTCGCCATCGGGACATTCTATTTCAAGTGTAACCACCTCAAAATTTTTAACCTCTTTGATTTTGCTCAAATTTTGTACAAAGGTTTCTGGTGCAAAGATACATCTGCTGTGAAAATTTCAGCTTCCTAGCTTGAGTGGTATTGAAATTACGACCGGTCAAACTTTTGAAATTTGTTGCAACCGGTCATTACTTGTGCCACACCTAAAATTGATATCTTCCTTCACACTCAACCTATAAAGATGGAATTGGTGTCAAATGAAAGCACTTGTCAAGTTGAAACTTAATTTCCAGTGAAATTGATGCTAGCCTCAAAGGCTCAAGGGCTGAGGTAAAATGTTATTTTTCAATGGCTGACCACGCCCAAATGGCAACGCCAATTTTCATGAAAATTTTTTTTCAATAAGATAAGTTCATGATAGAGCACCTCATTAAATTTAAAGATGGGGTGGGCATGGGTTTTATCACAATCAGTCTCAGAATACTGACAAGTCTTTATTAGATCTGTATCCTGCATAAGCATGACCTACTATGACATTGTTGTACTTTATGACATTGTTCTGTTATAGATGAATATTACATCAGTGCATGTGTGCGAGCTTTTTTGCATAGCCAAAAACATCATTGAATGGAAACCTCCTGCTAATTCAGAAAAAGGCCAACTTTACATTAATGTCATGTTAGTGAAAGTTAGTCTAGACATGTTATTTAACTTTATGATTTAAGAATTCCCATCAATTTTAAATAATTTCTGAAATTGGCTGTTCGTATCCTGTAATTGTCAAACCAGGAAGTCCTCTTCAATAGCACCTGTCTATTACAAGGAAACAGTAAATAAAAAACCAATGTAAGAAATGTGCTTTAGAAACTTCAAACAGACTTCAGACTTTGGTGAAAGCATTTAGTACATTACTGAAAAGGCAGTTTTCTAGTTTACGAGATTTAAGATGGCAGAACAACTTTCAAAACTGACAAGTATACAAAACAACCGAAAATATTGCTGTGACTCATTCCAAGTGCATAAAACCAAAAGAACAAAAGATTTGAGACTCGTGACTGCAGAGCAAGCGAAGTGCAATCCATCTTTGGTTCAAGTTGGAATGAAAATATGCACTAACTGTAGAAAACAGCTTCAAAGAGTGGTTGGAGTAGAGCCGCCACTCGAGAATCTGCTCTCTGAAGAGGAGGATGACTTTGTTTCGCCTGAAATTGAATTTGAAAGCCTAAATGAAACTTTAGGGAAAATTGGAGAAAGCCCTCTGAGTCAACGGGAAATAATGTCAAGATCCCGCTACCTTCCTCAAAAAAAGAAGAGAGTGCATGACACCCTTGAAAGAAAATTTGATGCTGCATGTGGCTCCTCTCCATCGTTGATTATGGATGTTTCTTCAGATGAGGAAGATGGAATGCCAGCAGAAATTGTGCAAAAACTAATTGCAAAATTTGGCAGCACTGAAAGTAGAAGTGAAAAGATAACAGTTCTGACTATTTTTGTGCAAACATGGAGTCGAAGGAAAATAATGGCCACCTTTGGCTGCTCTCAAAGAATGGCTACACAAGCAATGCATTTATTATTGGAAAAGGCATCCTTGCTACCCCAAATCCAAAAACTGGAAAAAAGTTGCCAGAGAATGTTTCAGAGGCTGTAGAAAACTTCTATCGGCAAGATGATATCAGCAGAGTTATGCCTGGAAAAAAGGACTGTCTAAGTATTCTTTGAGACGGCAAGAAGACTCTGTTTCAAAAAAGACTAGTTTTAGGAAATCTTCGGGAAATTTATCAAACATTCAAATCCCAACATCCATCAATGAAGATAAGCTTCTCAAAGTTTGCAATGGTTCTACCTTAAGAATGTGTTTTAGCTGGAGCAAGTGGCACTCATTCTGTCTGCGTTTGTACAATCCATAACAATGTAAAATTGATGATGAACGGATCCATGATGGCGTCTGTGACAGCCAATGAAGTAGTTCCTGTTAGTCATTATGGACACGCATTGGCTAAGATGATGTGTAACCCCGCAGTACCAAACTGTCATCTTGGTGAGTGCCCATACTGCCCTGGTAAACAGCCCCTGAGAGAGATGCTTTTAAAATGCTACGAAGATAACGATGTCGATGAAGTAGAGTTTAAGCAATGGACATCTACTGATCGCTCAAAACTAGAGACTATGGTAGAGCCAATAGAAGATTTTGTGGAAGCATTTATTGAGAAACTTGACACTCTTAAGCGACATGATTTCATTGCAAAACAGCAATCTCAGTATCTTTGCAAACGAAAGGAAGGTCTAGTAGAAGG